CAAGAGAAACCACAGAACACAATTAAATCCATCTACTAAATAGCAATCAAATAAAACATATCTCTGCACACGATTTGTTCGTCACGGAAGGTTGATGACAAATATAAACAGGTATGCACTTCAAGGCTGATTTTTCATATTCTAGCAAATCATGTGTCTAGATTCAATCGTTTCAGTTTCTTTTCATATAATCATTTTCTATTCATGTATCGTGTAATTATTTATATTCACAGTATAGTTCCATAGTAGTAGAAGTATGTATTTTTTTTTAATTCTGTACAAATATTAGTAACATATGACATTGACAGTAGGTCTAAAAAGAAAGCTTTATCATTGCGGTTGTGTAACTATATGATGAAATATAAGGAATGACAGGGACACAAAAACGACAGTTATCACTTGATGTCTAGTGACTATTATTAGTAGTAGATAAAAAAAAACACTAATAGATTGGCATTTGTATGAAAGAAGACTAATATTATGTGTTCTTTCCTGCAGTAAATTAGTGATGCATTCTTCTTTCAGACAAATCAATCCAGAAAAAGATGTACACGCGTCTTATGATCTTTTGAATAATAGTAGAAGTAGTTATAGTCTTATGATATGCTATAATAAGGTATCTCTTAGGTTTATTCTTGCTTCTTGAAAGGTTTCTTCTTCTCTTACTTCTTACATATTACATGCAATTGTATAAAATATATTCATTAATTATTTCTACACTTGATCAAGACCGCTAGCATTGTTATTTAACATCATTGTCTTTGTAATGTTAATTAGAATTTATAAGTGTCTGCGGATTGTTTCAAAAAATTATTTTAAGTATTAGTTTTAATAAGGAAAAAGGAGACAACTACGTAGTCTTAATACAAGTAGATATGTTGTACTAAATATAAGCGCGATGATAGATGTATATTACTTACATCAGCTCAATTGGTATAAATAGGATCAGATCATGTTATGCTTTTCGGCTTAGTGTGTCTCGAAGTGAAATGAGAAAATGATCTTTCTTTAGTAGACACTAAAACAAATTTTTTTAAGAACACTTTTTATCCTATTTCTCTTCTAATCTTCTCTCTCTTTCACTTCTTTTTATTTATAGTCGATGATTAACATTCATTTGGTTGATATAGTTCATCTTTTCGATGAGCCATTATCATTTTTCAACCATTATTAGTATCATTATTGTTCTTGTCATTAGTTTGACATTTGCATGGTCACCATCATCATCATCCTCATCAATAAAATATAAAATTGTATCGAAAACGAATGGTACTTCATTGAATATTTTTAATCGAGTACCATCAAAAGGTGATAAATTACGAAATTTTTCAACATCAATTCACGATCATATTAAGCCTTCACATGAATGGGATGAGGATAATGTTAATGACAAGACAGAACAATATGATGATGAACATTCTTCGACAAAAGAACAAATAGCAAATGTTGTTGTATTAACATCTCTCTCAGGTATTTATGTTTGGTGGCCAACTCTATTTGGTGGTGATGATTCATTTCATCTTCTACTTTCTCAAGAAGATGTACCACGTTTTCATGATGTAACTGGTGATGAAGATGGTCATATCTATTTAACAGCACCACATGAACGTACTGTATATCGATTACAATATTCTGATGGTTGGTGGATCTCAAATTTTTCCAATCATTCTTTAATGAATTCAATTCGTAGTGAAATGCCATTATTTCTTAACATTCATCGTGTATCATCAATACTTTATGTTTATGGTCATTCAGATATACAAGTTATTGATTTACTTGAACGACCACGTACACGTGGTTCAGCACCATTTATGAAACGTTTACGTGAATTAAGTCCAAATTTACGTATAAGTGATTTAATTATTGATCAATTAACATCCGATGGTTATATTATAGGTGATTCGTATGGTTGGTGTATAGTTATACGTTGTTCATTAAGTGTTAATGAATGTATATTTTTATTTAAAATTCCATCATCATATGATAATCGTCCATATCCATGTACAGCAACAATTGATTTTTCAAATAAAATGATGTATTTAAGTTTAGAAGAAAAAATACTCGCTGTTCATCTTAATGAACAAACAAATTTTGATCGACGTTTTGTTTTAACTGAAAAAAGTGGACCACGTTCAACATTAGGCTATGATGATATTATCACACATAATAATACGATTTTATATACGGATGTTCTTCGACCTATTTTACATATATGTCCATCAACAACTTCAAATCCATGTATAAATTTATCACTTGTATTTCCATCACCACAACGAACAATATTACCACTTCGTTTAAGTATTGTTAACGTACGAAATTTACGTCCACCTATATTTGATGATGAAGATGAAATTGAATTACATATAAATCAATCAGATACTCATTCATCACCTTTATCTCTTCGAACTCAAAATACAACAACTACTTATCAATATCGAATTGATGATGGAACTACGATTCAATCTCATGAATTCCAACAAACAAGTTTAAATAGTATTTGGATGCTTCTACTTGGTATTTTTGTTGGTTTACTTCTTGGTGGTTTATCATTTATGATTTATTATATTATTTGGAATAAAAATCGACCAAAATTAAAAAGACAAATATCAACAATGAATGTAACTTCATCTTCAACAAAAATATCTATACCTGAACGAATACAACCTCTTATAGACGATCGAAAACGTAGAAGTGAATCGAAAAGTAAATCATCAACTCAATCATCATCAGATTCAGCAAGAAATCATTTATTAGAAACAACAGCAAATTCAAGTACTAGTGGTTCAAGTGAATGGACAACGATTACAACTAGTTCATTAAGTTATCAGCCAGATATTATTCTTTAGTGTTAATTTGTTTTTAAATTGTTCATTATTATTTTTTTATTGTTTTCGTTGTCTTCGCTTATATATACATTTACTTTCCAGGTTCTTTTTTTTTTTTTCGGTTTTTTTTTAATTATTTTTTATTCTCTAGTTATAAAAGTTATTTTATACGTGAATTTTTACGTATGCATCTTATGAAACAAAATGAAAAAAGAAACACTCACAACACAAAAAGAAAACGTTGTAAAAAGGCCTTGATTTCATGGATACAATTATGCCATTGTTATAGAAAAATTGTATTTTATAATCACGAGACTTTTTTATCTTGATATCGATCACATAACGATGGTGATTTATAACAGGATCCAACAGTTAATTTAAGCATAATAAAAATTACACCAACAAGTAGAAAACCAATGGAAAGAAACATTGGCCAATCGAACATAATTGATGGATCAATAGATTTAGACATATAATGTGACCTTTTTTTTTTCTTTTTTTCTGGAAAGAAAAGATCTATTTTAATAACATAATCCCGAACAAAATAAGAAATCGTTTTTGTCTACAAGTTAGCACAAATGTATGTATATAAAAAAAAAGAAAAAACATTGTGAGATTATCAAAAAAGATATATATATATAGAAGGAAAGTTTTATGCAGTTGATTTTGACGCATAAGACACTTTGTAGAATTCATTGAAGTTTAATCGAAAGCTCAAAGAACGTAATGTTATGTCTGGATGAGATTTAAGTTGTTGAAGAAATTTGAGTACAGCATCCTTAAAAAAAAATTTGAATGTTTATGTTTTTTTTTGATAATTTTTTTTTTCTCTTCGTACTCGAAATGCTTTTTTAACGATATGTAAATCACTTTTAATCGTCTTCAACTGTGGTTTAAAAACCGTATGAAATCGTCGAATTTCTGCATCCTAAAAGAATTACAAAAAAAAAGTCATCATTAAAAAAGTTTGTCAGTGCTGCTCATTTGGACCTAAAATGTTAGATTCACATGTATTTTTTAATCGCATTATATTGATACAAAATCCACAAAGTGAAAAATTCCAAGTAGACTATAGTTGTTTGTTAAGAATAATTGATCACCAATGAAATGATCAGTCTTCTTTATTTCTACATTTTGAACAGAATTTTTTTCTGTTTTTTTACTGCTGCTCTATTATTTGTTTGCTTTAATTTAACTGTTGTAAAGGTAAAGTTGCTAAATGTCAATAATTATAAATCCTTGATTAAACACCTTGTCTAAGTTATGATCAATAGAATGTAATACAGCAGGCGCATGCTTACATCACAATAGTGAGAGTGAGGGTAGAATCTGTGACTTAAGAGGACTTAGACTTTTGACATTTAGCTGCCAAAAGATTGCACATATCTATTACATCTACGTCATGTCTTAACACACTCTTATTTATCTCGATAAGCTCAGAAACACTGACATTAAGTACTTTGCAAAGTTATAACTTAGTCATTTCTTGCTTTTTATATTGATTATATGATGACTGTAGCAAATCAATGTATCACCGCTCATCATTCTTGACATTAATAATATAATATTCTATCTGCATGAAAACTGGAAAGGGTGTGGATATGGGTGTGGGCTGCGAGTAGAATAGAGATCACCACCTTCGTTCACACCCGATTCTGGTACCAATTGACTATCTAAGCGTATTTATGATTGTCATTATAAGAAAAACGATATTTTCGAATGCTCAAACAAGTATCAATTAGTTTTATGTATCTTCAAAAAATGAATCAGCTATTCCAGATTGAGTTAAACAGGAGATTAAAGTTGCATCCGTTGAATTTATAACACTTTGACTGTCGACCATTTAAAACAATTAATGATATTGGTTTTTAAAATCTTGTACAAAAAAAATTTTAATGCTGACCGACACTTATCTATAAAGGAAGCTACAGGTTCACATTTTTTCGGACCAAACCAGGATTCCAGGCCAGATCTGTAAGAACTCGCAGTTCCCTACTGTTGTCCTTGATTACTTTGAAAATACATCAAGTAACTATTAGTCTCTACTTCTTCCTCACACTCTAATGCTATGAGAGAGGAAGTCGGAAAAATTTCACTTAAAACTTACACTAACTATATTTATCTTCAGAACATATAATATGAATTCTACGAAATGAAATTCCATAATAAAGAGAATTATCTTCTTACAGGTTCAACATTTTTTGTATAAGTTCCGTAATATTGTTGTTTTTGATATGGTTTTCTTGCTAGTAATTCACTTTCAACACATTGTATTAAACGTTGAATAATTGAACCAAAATTTAATATTAAATCAAATATACAACGTAATTGTTTAGCTAATTCTTGACTTGTTTCATGACCATCAAGATGAAGACGTGTTAAAATTTTTAATAATGAATCATCATGTGCTTCAAGAATTTGTTCTAAATCTTTAGCTTCCATTAATTTATTTAATAAATCACTCCATGAACATTCAAGTACTTCAAACATAATATAATAATTAACACTTTGAACAAATTTTGTCATTTCATTTGACATTATAAAACATACATGTGTCATATCGGAAATTTCTAAAAGACATGAAATTTTTTTTTCTTGTTCTTATTTGAAGATTTAATTTCTCTTTTACCTGGAATCGAAGCAAATTGTCTTGATGATTTCATTAATTGTTTCCATACACCACAGGTTGTATATTCCATACGTTTAACACGCCATAAATGATTAAATATTCTCATATATCTTAAAGAATTTTCTTCTGTAAATATTGTACGTAACGGACCATCAAATTTATAATCTAAACAACAAACATCCCAACCAAGTTCAGATGGTGATACATACATTAAACGTAAATCAAGACGTTTTATAATATCTTCACTTTCATATTGAGCATTTGTTACACGTATAGCTGCATCCATTAATGATTGTAAATTATGATAAAATACTTGATTTGCTGGTTTATTTAATTCATTTTCCATTAAATCCATTAAATATTTTATAAAATCACCTTGACCTAATAATAAATAACGTTTTATAGCTTTAAAATGATCCATCATTTGATATTTATCATCAAGAATTGAACGAAGATAACGTGTTGTTTCATTATAAATCGATATAATCATATCTTGAAATTCAGTTGAACGTTGTTGTTGAAATAAACTTTCAGCTAAAAGAAATATTTATCAAAGTCAGTTTTTATATTTCTCTAATGTAATCTATACATCAAGAGTCTCGTCACAAAATATACACTCATTTTTCAAAGTCTAAAACGCAAGTGATTAGAGCCAAAAAAAGAAATTTTCACTATTTCAGAATATATGCTAGATTTTTCTTCTGAGGTAAGATTGAACAACTATCAGTAAATTTTGTAAGAAACATTCAAGACTTTGTTTATACAAAGCAAAATAACTGTTGTGATACAGTCTTTACTTTGTGTCTTTGAACAGCTTTAATCTAACATTATTGTCGAACACTGAATTCTCTACAAAATGAGATATTACAATAAGCAAAATCGCATCTAAGCATCTCCATTAAAAAGTTAGCTTCTATGAAAATTGACATTGGTAAAAAAAAAAAAGTCTGCTGTGTCAAAAGCTGCTTTTTTTTAAAAATACAAACGTTTTAAAAATTTATTATGTAAAAGTTAATGGATTATTTCGTAGAACAAAATTTGCTCTACAAAACTGAGTCGTTCAAAAAAAGATTTCACGAATTCAATAGGTTTTAATCACATATGTAATATTCTCTACAACCACTATTTTGAATCTTTTGAAACAATCTGATGATAGTTGTTAGATCTTATCCCAGAAAGAAATTATGAACACATATTTGGAAAAAATGTGAATCTAACTGTTTTTTGCTCTAACCAGTTGTTATTAAGTGACCGAAGAATGAGTGAATATTTTTTTTTAAAACTTTCGCATCGTAGATTATATTTAAATTTTTGATTTTTTCCTTTATTTGAATGTTTTAAACATAAATAACTAGATAAAGTGAAAATTCAGCATTTTTTCTAATTCAACGCAATCAGATTATGATTAACAGACTGTGCAGTCTGTAATCTTAATTATTACTAAGAAAAACAAGAAACTCCTGTATAGAGAAGCAGAATCCACCAGATCTTCCTCGAAGCAAACAGAAAAGTATGATATGAATCATTACTTGTTTATTGACACTATACTAAAACTTAAAGACAGGCAAATTTTCTAGCTGAAACGTTCATTGATATTTTCCAATACTTTAATCTTACCTGAGAGTGTCGCTTCAACCCAGGGACAGATTATTCATCCCTGTTTCTAATTCTTTTCTTTTATTATTGTCTACCTTTTTCGAAACGGTGATGGGAAAAAATAAACAGAAACTATGTAAACTTTGCTACTTTGGTTGAAAATGTATTTGAGATTTATCCTAAATATAACATATCGAACGAAACTTGTAGCTTCTCTTAATCAAGAAAAATGAATCCTAATAATTATTTTCTCAATGATCAATATTTCTATTTCTCATAGGTAAAATTTATTTTCTTCTTCTACAAGATTTCATCCTATTGTGTTTTACCAAAAATGAAACAATAACTTATACTTACATGAAGCTGGTGTTTTATTAATTTGTAACATAGTTCGATCTTTACAAACTACACGTAAAAAATTAATTGATTTTCCTGTAATCCAAATTTTTTTTGCTTGTTCCATTGATATAAATGATGGAACCATTGGTACACGTAATGTATATTTATCATACCATAATTTTTCTTCAGTCACCATTTTATCAGTTGAAACAAAATATTCTTGATATGGATCATTAATTATACCATTACATATCCATTCAACAATCATATCACGAATTGGTATTGTACAATTATAAAGTAATGGATAAAGTAATGATTGTTGTAATGGATCACCATGTTGACTATGCATATAAAGTATTGATAAAAGTTGTCCACCTTTTTTACCTAAATAAATTTGAATATAAAATTTTATTAATAATAATGATAATAATTTTTTCTTTCTTTTTTCGGAAACAAACCTTGACATGAATCAGCAATAGCTGCAAGACATTTTAAGCGTTGCATTGGTGTACACATCCAAACATGAAGTTTTTTTAATGAAACCATTCCAGGTATATTTTCCTGATATTGAAGAAAAGAAAAAGTTCAAATAATCGATAATCCAAAAGTTTTACATTAGTTTTATTTTCAGTAATATAGCATGATAATAACTCAAGGTAGAGTTTTGATAGTTTTCTTGTTAGAAAGAGCAAAATTTCGTTTTAAATACTAACTGAAGACTGAAAGATGCTTTGTAACTTCACACAAAATCAGTGATGAGAGAAGTGCATTTGATCGATTTATCTTGTACTCAGTTTTCGAAATTTTTAAGCACGTTATTTGTGAGTTTAATAAACACAATACAGGCTCTTGAGTGGTATCAAAATAGTCAAGTTACAAAAACCACAAATTTCATAGAAAACAATTTTATAAAAAATTTTCGACTTTTCCTCGAAAATACTCATTGAAGCTTTTCTGATGATGTCTAATAGAAAAAATTGTAAACCTCATCCATCAATAGAAGATGTGGGACTTTCTATTATATTTAAGTGTAAAAATTTTCTATGACGGTCTTCGATTGCGGAGAGGGATTTATTCTGTTTTAAATAATATACATTTGTAGAAGGTTCACTAAACTCTAATTGAAGATAAAATATAAGATTTCACTAATTTCTGTTGATGGAAAAGAATCCGATTTTTCGAAATTATTTATTGATCTAGCAAAGACCATTAGAAAAATGTTGATTTCGAGCTCAACTGATAGTTTGAAAATTTTAGTTTTTACTTATTTACAATGCCCTATCGTAGCGCTACAAAACCAGATAAAAGATAGAAAATAAGCAGAACTTTCTTAGTAGATCGAGGCTTTCTTCTAAATTTCAGAAGACATGGAAAGCAACTTTTTTTGTTTTTTTTGTAACTATTTTGAATGAAACTTTGTAGTCAAGATTTTGCTCCTTCTAACAAGAAAACTATCATGTCGCTAAAACGAATTGTTGTCATGCTATAATAAAAACAAAATTAATGCAGAAATTTTGCATTATCTGTTAGTTAATGTAATAAGAAACTTCTATTTTACTTGTTGTTCAATAACAGATATGAGTCGATGATATTCACGTAATTCACTTGATAAATTAGCAATAAATGCTTGAGCAACAAGACTTGTTGTTGGTGTATTAATTATTTTTCGAATTTTTTCATATAACCATCCACATTCAAGAAAACGACTTATTAATATTCGTGTGCAACGATCAATATTGGTATCAGTTGCAGATAAACGTGGTGTTTCAATACCTTGCATACCAAATAAAAGTTCACGTAATAAACGTGATTCATCATTATCTCGTTTTAAAGATGAAATATTTTCTATTTCATTATTATTATTTGTTGTTGAATGAAGATGAGTTTTTGATGATAATGAATTTTCATCATCATTTGTATAATGAAGAAGTTTTTGTAATGATGTTGACGACTTTATATGAGATGAATTATGTGAAAAACCATTTTCTTTTGTATTAGAAGATTCTTTTTGAATAGATAAAAGAGAAAATGATGGAATGTCAAAGCTACTAGCTGATGATGTTGGTAGTGGACGATTTATTGAATCATGATGATGTTCAGTTGATGCTGTATCAGCCAGTGCATAAAGAAATTGAAGTGTTTCAAGGCGTGCTTTGAGAACTTTCTAAACAAAATTCATTTAATTGAAAAATTTTTTAGCAGGTTAAACAGTATTTAAAATAAACTTTTTCTCGATAATATATAGATCGTTCAGTGGCTAAAGTTTAGGTTTATGTAATGATCTTTTTCTGGAACTGTGTCAAGTGACCAGTTAGTTTCTTTCATATGAACTATGGCTATTGATAATAGTAATGTAGTGATTCTATTCATTAATTCCTTCACTTATCAAAAGGAGAATTGATTGTTTTATGCAGTTCTCAAAACAGAACATGTTCATAGAAGTAAGAAGAGTAACACATCTGTTTGAATAGTTCGATTCTTTTCAAAAAAAATTGGATAATTGATGCCAGTTCTGTTTCTCAATCACAAACTGTCATAAGTCTACGAAACACATGATCATATTAACTTGTTAATCTTTTTTAAAGAATCATAGTAAAACATTCTTTTTTTTTTGTTTTAATAAAATGCATCTACAAAGCCTAGACTTGATTAATAGCAAAAAGGTATCTTTCATTGTTATCTTCTATCTAATAAATGTCAAATGATTTGGAGGAGGAATCTCGAAATGTTACTTCTTTTTAGTTAATATATGCGTGAATCTCTTGATAATGTAGTTTCTCTTGAGGACATTACTTTAGATAAGCGACTTAAAGATGAATCCTATGCACCGTTAAAATAATAATAATCATAAGTTTTTTTTAAATTTTATTGTGAATATAAATGTCACAGTCAAAACTAGAATTTCAGTTTTGTCCGAATGAAATTAGAATTAAACTAGAAGTCGATGCAATTGAAGAAAGCTAAAGCATAAATAAATAAAGAGTTTTTTCATTCTGTAAACTATCTTTTATATCACTCAAGTCATAGTTCATATTATTTTAACCTATTGACCCATGTTTGTTTTTTACATTCACATTGTTTTGTGGCACATTTTATTTCACTATTGCTTATATATATTCACCCGTCGATCCACGAACATGGTGTTTAGACATTTCAATAATTATAATATCTCTTAAATTATCTATGACAACTTGTCTTAATTTTTCTGTAAAGATGAATAATAAATTAACTCATGTTTAACAGCAAATGTGTTTTCTAATTTACCACATTCAAAAATTAATTTATACAAATATTTGAGATAAACAATAATTTATAAAATAGAAAAAAGTCTTTTTATGTTTAAACTCTAACTGTCTTCAATTTGATCCATGTACTTCTTAGTTCAATCCTAATATTATTCGAACTACACTCAAAACAAAAATTCTGTTATAGAACCTAAAAACATTTTTCGCATGGATAAAAACTCGGAACTGTTTTTTGATTTGGTACGAAACCAAAAATAGGTTTCGAGTTCGTATCTGCGCGAAGAACATTTTTAGACTCTGCAACAGATATTATAATAATTTAAAAAGAATTGCTTATATCATTCGAATAAAAATCTATGTAAAGAACTTACAAGTTTATTAAGCCGAGCATAAATTTGACCAAAACGAAGCATTTCTTGATTTCTTCCATATTTTTGAACTAAAAAGATTTCCAATAAATAAATAAAATAAAAAAAAAAGAATCTTTCTTAAACTATATCATACAATGTTTCCAAATTTTATCAAGTAATCGTATATCATCTTGATAAATATTCCCATGTTCACTACAAATTATTCAAAAGTACAAAAGAAAAAAAAAACATTCTACAAGTTTTTGAACATACGAATGAAGTAAATGCGCAACTGTATTAATAGTTTTATCCAAAATTTCTATAGAATTAAAAATAAATTCAATTAATTAAAAGTTATTTTTAAAGTTTTCATCATACCAGGTTTATTATCACAGTAGCAAAGACACAAATTTTTCACTAAAGCTAATTGTGAACCAGCCATGACTGCTGGCAAAATAACTAAACTGTGCGTATTTGACAAACACTTAATGAGTCATCAAATGAAATATGACTAATCACTTTGACTTATTTTGAATTTATAATTATTTCTTTATTTTATATTTCTATTAATATATTTTCTTTATTGATATTCCTGGCATTAAGCCATCTATATATTTCAAAGTTTTTATTGGTTAAAAATTTTTATGACTCATTGTTGATTGTTTGAAGAAAGTGACGAACAACTATTATTATATTTCTATGTCAGACTTCAGGCGTCTGTCTTTTTTCTGTTTTTCTTCAGGATTTTTTTATTTCTATTGAAGAAAATCAATAGAAAACATCGTATAAATTTTTTATTTGTTCTATTTAGAAAATAAAACTTTAATATGATTTCAAATACAAATAATCTTTTAGCAATACCAGCTAAAAAATCTTTTGATGTTAATCTTTCAATACCAATAAAAAATTTTATTAAAGCAACATTTGGTGATAAAGAAGATTATTCAGCATCAGTTGATGGTTTTAATTCGCTTCGTGCTGAAGCATTACTACGCAGTAATTATAAAGATGATTGTTCAAAATTACTTAGGTTCGCAGAAAACTTCTTATTTATTTATATAGTAAAAACAAAATTATCTATTTATTTAGATATTATGATCAATTAAATGCAATTGAACATAAATTGCCAATAACAGAAAATCAAATACGTATATATTTTAAATGGCAAGATGCATTTGTTAGTGGTGGAAGTTTATTTGGTAGTAAACAAAAAACAAATGGTTCATGGAAATTATCATATGAAAAAGCATGTGTTCTTTTTAATATTGGACATGCATATAGTGAATTAGCATTAGCACAAAATTTATCTATAGATGAACAAATGAAAATAGCATTAAGATATTTTCAATTATCATCGGGTGTTTTTTCATTTTTAAAAGATTATGTTAATGCTAATTCATTATCAGATTTATCGGTTGATTTTGAACCAGCTGTATTAGCAAGTATTTCATGGTTAATGTTAGCTCAAGCAGCAGAACTTATTTATATGAAATCAGCTAGTTTTAAAGGTAAACGATGAAAAGAAGAAAAATTCTTTGAAATAAATAATAATTTTATTCATTTAGATGAAGTTGCAGCTAAAGTTGCGGCACATGCTGCTGATTGTTACAAGGAAGCATATACGTCAGCTAAAACTGAAAGTGCAAAAAAAATAATTCCAGAGGTTGGTAAATTCGATTTGATTTTCTTCAGAGAATTTTTCTTTTGAAATAATTATTTGAAATTTTTCGTTTTGATTATTTCTGCTTTTTAAAGAAGATACAATTAATCTACATGTAATTTTTATCACAGATAGAGTATATAAGATTAGGAGACACGTGTTCGAGGAGTAAAAATTTTAAACAAGATTTTCGCATTTTTGTTTTCTGGCAAACTCTGGTTTTGGTGCTCTCTTTGTGAGTTAAATTTCATTCGAGCTTTGTTGTATTCTCTCTTCTAGAACTAGAAATGGTTTAAAAACAGTGATGGGGGTATCCTTAACAGAAATGGTGTTGATTAACAGAATTCCTAAGTATTTATATGATCGTTTCAAGAAAGATTATTCTATACTGGTTATGACCTAAAATAGTTGTAAGTCTTATTCGTAGAATTATGTGCAAGTCAATTTCAGATCGTTCATTTTCCTATGATTCTTTCAAATCAAATTTGACTTTTCTAAATTGTGTTAAAATTCGACGAGAACGCTAGTTGTTCAAGAATACACTAATGAGGGAAGGCCACCAACTGTTCAATCGCTTTTGCGTTGAAACCATTTGCGTTATGTAGTTCTCAAAGAGATATGAATACGCTGGAAATATTTTGGGCGGATAACTTATTGTTACCAAAATAGTCCATTTGTAAGGTATGGATTTTATTAAGTGCCTAGGGTCCTCCTCAGGAACATTAAAAAAATTGATTTTCGAATTTCGACTTGAAACTTTACATAGAAAGACGCCCCAAGGAGAACAACTTTTTGTGAACGTTTCAGATCTTTCTAGTGTTCCTATCNACAAGTCTCGAGATGATAGTATAAGAAAAAATTTCGCTTTGCGACATGAGCTGATCTCGAAAAAAAAAAAGTTTTTATGAAGGCAATTTTTCGAAGTTCGTTCACCTTGAAAATTTTATTATATGTATAGTTTATGGCGTTGAACCTATTCTAAAATTCTTAAACCTATCCGTTGTAAAATTAGACAGTTATTTTTATAATTAATTTTTAATGAATTAGCTAATTAAGCTTAATTAGGTACGAGCTAAAAGTGCCAATATTTTTGCATACAGTGGACACCAGAATTGTTTACAGATGTTTATTTTCAATTTTTTTTTCGCTAGCGTAAGCAAAAGAAAGAATCAAAATAGTCATTTAAACACCAAAGCTATAGTTTATTTGTAACGTGTTTACTGTATGTTCAGAGAAAAAGAACTTGTTCGAAAAAGTAATCCTTGTAAAGAATCAAAGTTAAATCAAAAATGATCATGTTTTATTTTCGATAATTTTGTCCTCATAAATAATTAATTAAATATTTTTCTTAAATTAGCGTGGAAAAGATTTTGCTGATCAAGCAGTTAGTAAATGTACGATAGCTGCTTTTACACCAACACTTCGTGCTAATCAAGATGAAATAGCTAAAGCAGCCGCAGCTGCACGTAAAGATAATGATTTTGTTTATCATGAACGATTACCAGATCCGAAAACACTTGAAACTATTTTGGCTCAACCAATAGCTAAACCATTACCAGTTACATTTCCAATAATGCCTGATTTCAAAGGTAATTTAAATATTTTAATTATAGTCTTTTTTTTTTTTATGAATTATTTCTTTAGATCTATTTGCTTCACTGGTTCCAATAGCATTAAATAATGCATTCGCAGCATTTAGTGCAAAACGAGCAGAAATCATGAATATAGAAGTTAATCGTCTTCGAGAAGCAACTAATGTTCTCAATGCGTATGTTTATTTCAAATAGAATTTTATATTAATAATTCTTAGTTGTCATTGTTTTGTTTTTAGTTTTTTGGCTTCAATGAATTTACCAGCTGCCATTGAAGATAGTGGTGGTCGTCAAGTTCCACCATCAGTTAGTGAAAAATCCAATGAAATTAAACGACAAGGCGGTATTAGTACATTAGATCAAATGATTAGTGATCTACCGGAATCATTACAACGCAATAAAGAAATTCTGGATGAAGTAATGTTTAGTTATTTTCATAGAAAAATTTGATTTTTTTTTTTTCATTTTTATTAGACAATTCGTATGTTAGATGATGAAGAACGAGGTGATACAGAATTACGTAGTCAATTTAAAGAACGTTGGACTCGTACTGTATCATCAAAACTAACAGCTCCATTACGTGAAGAAGCTAAAAAATATATGGATCTTATACAAAATGCAATTAATGCAGATAAAGTTGTTCAAGAAAAATATCGAATGAATCGAGATGCTATTGTTTTACTTAGTAAACAAACGGTAATAATTCTTAACGAGAAATTCTACTCTTATTGTTCTCTAGTAAAACTTCTTCTAATTTGAAATAACTATATTTACTGGTTGATTTTTATGTGGTTCAGGCTCATTCTCTTGTCAGAAAATTATTTTTACTCCAAAAAAAAAAAGTAATCTAACATAACGTCAAGGGCTAAAAAGTAGGTGTCCGCGTAACAAAGATTTATTCTTCAAATCTAATAAAAATAAAAATTTTGATTCTGTTAACTTGTGGAGCACAATATTCACTTCAATTAAAAACCATCCCAAGCATTGTAGCATATAAAACGGCCGAAAAATCTTTCACATAAGAACAGGAAAAAGTAGAAAAATCTACTTTTGAAAAAAATGCGAAACAAAGTTTCACCTAGAAGCCCAACCTTTATTCTTAATATAAAATGGTACAGGAAGCAAATCATAAAAAAACATTATAAATGGGATAAATCGTATTAGACATTGAGCGTAATTCAATCGTATCAAAGTATCGAGAGCGAATTTTTTTGAAGAAAATCGCGATTTCTGTCAGTGATATGTCTTAAAAGATATAGCAGTGTTCGAGTCCCAGAAAAAATTGTGAAAATTAGTCTTTGAGAGTAGAATTTTAAAGAGTACAAAGTCTTTGATAAAATAATTGGTTGTGGCATTTTCTACGGCATCTGAAAAAGTTATAAGTACCACAACAAAAATGTTTAAATCAAACAGAATTTACTATAGCATTGCTAAAAATTAATTTTTTTTTTGTAATTTATATAACTTTATAAGGAAAGATTGAAAGAAATAGAGTAACTTCTCATTTTATTCAAGATTTTATACTCTTTAAGAGTCTACTCTTAAAAGTTAATTTTCACAAAGTCTTCCGCTCATAGTCCATTTATGAAATCTCAATATGGAATACACTTAATAGGAAACTTCATTGGTTATTCAAGTCACTATATGAACTTGAGTTAAATATTTAGCATCGTAGAAAAAAAGATCAAAAAATACATTGGTCTTATATTTTGACCAGTACAGTATGTAGATAATCAATGAATGTCTGATACTCTTGACTTTGAATTTTACGTTTTCATTACGAATGCGTTAAATCTTCTTTCATATAAACCTAAAGGATCGAAATGTGTTTGAGAATAAAGAACTCAACAATGATATTACAAAATGAAAAGCTTGATTTATTTATTTTAGCATGAAATAGCTGATGAACTTCCATCGGCAACAGCTGCTGGAGCATTACGTGATTCTTTTGTTGTACGTGAATTACATCGTTTAATGGATAGTGTTGCAGCAATAAAAGCTGAACGTGAAGTAATTGAATCTGAATTAAAACATACAGATTCTGATGGTGTTCGTGCTCATTTGATTGCTGCATTTCAACAAGGAAATCATAATGATGAAAATAGTGTTGTTGTTAATGAAATTGAATCACTTTATACTCCATTACGACAACAAGTTAGTGAAAGTCTATCAAAACAAGAGCAATTAGTTGAAAATATTCGTCGTGCAAATCAACAATTTCAAAGCGAAAAACAAGGAAATGAATCATCAGAAATGCGTGAAGAAATGTTAAAAAATTTAGCTCGAGCTTATGATGCTTATCAAGAATTATTAAATAATTTAAAAGAAGGAACTAAAGTGAATTTAATTTTTTTTTATATTATTATTTACAAAAATATTGTTTTTTTTTTCTTAGTTCTATAATGATCTGACACCATTATTACTTAAATTTCAAAATAAAGTATCAGATTTTGTATTTGCTCGTAAAACAGAAAAAGAAGATTTAATGAAAGATATTCAACGAGGAATAGTTGGTGGAAATCCTGTACCAGCAACAACACAACAAAGTGGTATGAAGTATTTATTATTTAAAGATCAAAACATTTTTTTGTTTTATTTCTTTAGCAAATAATTCATATGCATCAAGTGCTGCTCCGGCACATCCACCATTGCAACACCCATCAGCTCCATCAACTGGTGGGCCACCACCAACAACAACACCTGGTAAGAATAAAATTTAAAAAACAAAACAAAATTATTTATTTTTCTTATTCTAGACGGTTCTGCTCTACCATATCCAAATCCATATATGCAACCATTTTTTCCAATGCCACCGGGTTATAATCCATATAATCCATTTCTTAATATGAGTAAGTTTATTAATTAAAATTTATGTATGAGATTGATTTGTTTTATTTGCTCTAGCAACACCAGCATATCCAATGGGTGGAGCTCCACAATATCCACAGCAAGGTAATTTGTTTTTCAAATGTTTATAAAATAATTTATTTTTTTTTTTGCTTTTGTAGGTTATGGTGTTGAGAAACCTCAACCAGGTGGTAAAAAGAAATGATAAATTATTTCTTCGTAAAAAAAGAGTTTATATTTTGCGTTGTTCAACTTTGTCTTGTATGATGAAATGCATGTGCTTCTTCTTCTGTGTGGTTATAGATATATATGTTCAATTCTTTTACTTGCGATATGCTTCTTCTTTTTCCTTTATCTATTTCCGGTGTTATCGTCAATATCAAGAACACAGACAAAAAAAAATACCGCAATGTATTCTGCTGCTTTGTGTACGTTTGTCTACTATTATGAATGCTATCATCGATTTATTATTACTATTTTTTGTCGTTTTTATTGTTCTTTTATTCTCTACATATTCCTTTTCTGGATAAATAAAAACAACAATCTCATTGAACAAAAAACTCGTTTTTTCAAAATAACATACATTCCAAAGTAAAAGAAATATCATCATCATGTTATTGTTCTTATCGATTGATTAATAAGACGAATTTTCTACATTGAGACTGTTTGAAAAAAAGAAAGTAAAATTTCGTAATAAAACATTATTGGATTGGAGAAAAATCATTCGCAGTTCAAAATGTCGACAAATAACAATAGCAAGTCAGTGTATTTAAGGAAGTTCATTCTTTACCGATCTAATTTATGACATCTGAGTACTATTTCAAATGTTATTTTGAAAAAAAAGATGCAGTTTATTAAAGTTTTTGTTTTATAAAGCTTACAAAAAAACGTTGCATTTGTGATGTACTTGCCACTAAAATGTATTGGTAATAGGTTTATGTAATAATAGATTATAGTGAACCTATAATATCAAAACGAATCGTGATGAAGTCTCCTCCATACCTTTGATTACAATTGTATTTATATAGGTGACGTTCGAGACATGTTTATTGCGCAAGAAAAACGAAACCATTCAATGGTTCTGTTGAGACAGATAAGATATTAAAAGACAACAAAATGTAGTTATCTACGTATTTACTTTAATAAAAGAAAATGATATCGTGTTTTACTTTATTTATTTCAGTTTTGATAACATATTAATAGTTCTATTTCTTTGTTTTCAAAGAAGAAAAAGTATTTTTACTCTTGGAAGGAGAAGGTCTCCTATTTGTTTTATTCGTCGATTGCGAATAAAGCTTTATATCTGATAGGCGAGATTTACTCATTGCAAGACCACGTCGAGATTCAACACGTTTCATAAAAGCATGCGGAGTTTCACCGCCTGGAAGTACACTCATTGGTAAAGAATCTGGTTGATTTGCAAGTATTACTTCAGCATCGGCTGGTAAAAGTTCTACATTATTATTTTGTTCAAATAATTGTTTAATTTGACCTTCTGTACAAACTTCTTGCCAAACAGTTAGTCGTGCTTGATGAGCTGTACGAGGATAAATAACACGATGAATACCAGATTTAAAACGATTTCCAGTAAGAATGCTTGCTGCTTCACCAAGCCAAATAACACCAATGTTAGATTGATCAACTTGAGAATTATCTGGTCCATCAATCCATTTATTTTCACGTTGATCTTTTAATTGAAGACCATCACATGTTGAAAGTATACTTAATGAAAAGAGACCGGGATCATAATGTGGGACACAATTAACTTCATCTGTATTGTAACCAACTTCGGGTATTTTTGTTGGACCAGTTTTTTTATTAAAATATTGGACAATATCAAGCATTGCAAAAGCAGATAATTCTACTTGTTTGGATGATTTATCATCTGATACAGTTAGTTTAGTAATTATTGGTTTTAAGCGATAAGTTAAATTACTGATCAATTGACTAATATGTTGTAATGTTGCTTCGATGCTCATCGGTAAAACAGATTGAGAATCAGTGATACCTTGCTGATCTGTTAATATTTTAATACCTTCTTTATGACCAATACATGAATAACCAAATGCATTTGATGATAAATAACGAGATTTTTCTGCTTGATCCAGTGAAAAAAAATTTGAAAGAGATTGATTAATATGATTCAACTGGGTTACGAAAGAACGACTGTTTTTAGACAAATGTACAAAACACCAACCATTTGTTTCGAATGCTTGTTGTAATCTTAAAATTTCTAATGGATCATCGAGAAATAATTTCTCAAGATCAATAAATGGATGATTATTGAATTCAGTCGACATTAGTATAAGAATATTATAATAAAGAATGTAAAATGTGTGTTAGCTACAACTTTCAGCTATGACATTTATATTACATGTTATTGCTCAATCATTCACATTAAACGACACATTTCTTACCTCATATATGAGTTGACAACGATTCAATATGAATCAACTGACAACTTAAAGTAAATATAATATGCATAGTAATAAGTTTTTTCGTTGCTATAATACTCTTTTTATTTTCATTGATATTGTGCTTTGTTCTTCTATGATTGTTATGACCGAAGTGTTCCCCTTCGATCATAAGACGGAACGAAACGAATGATGAGTACTCCTTTCTAGTACAGTGGTTAATACGTCTGCCCGGAAAGCAGGAGATACATGGTTCGATTCCATGTGAAGGGGGATTATTCTTTTGTTCCGTTCTGTTGTCATACCATCACGTTGCTGTCTCGCTGATAACCGAGTAAAGAAAGAAAGTAGACATAACACTTATGATACTGAATAACAGAGAATGATTGACAGAATTAAATGCATTGCTTTTCGTGAAGCACGTGATGCTGGTACAACATTTATAAATAGACAATGAATCGTGGGAAAAGTTCACTGTACGACTCGATTTGACGCAGAATGATGGGAGAAATGATATGACCAATGTTTTACTAATTATTCAAATACCGGGTGTGGGTGTGGATGTGAGTTAACAATAGATGAACTGATTCTCGCATCCATATCCTTCTGCAATTCGAGATTCCTATTATCCATTTCAAAATATAATACAGTTGGTTGCTTTTTTGATAAGTCAAGAACGGAAGCAATTATTGATCTGCGATTTTCACCAATAGAAAGAAGACATTGGAGTACATCGATCTGTGTCAAAAAATCATGAATTGACCAGTGGTCAGTCTTGCTAAATTTTTAATAGACATTTTGGAAATAACGTAGTCACCATCTTTTGAAGTGGATATTGAATCTAGAGATACTTATTCGATAGAGAAAATGAAGCTCTTTCGATCGACATAAGATCTAGTTTGTCAGCTTATTGCATTCAGAAGTTTTAATCATTTTCCTAGAAACGTTAAAATCGGCTAAATGACCTTCAGTCACGATAAAATGCATTAAAGTAGGGGTAATTGGTTCTGTTGAGTTTAATAATGATGTTTATTTTTAGTTTCAAGCTGTCTTAGGTTATTTTCAAGATTTTCGAAATATGCTTTCATTACTCAATTGAATTCAAAATACTGCAATTTCGAAAATCTTCATATAGTGATCGTAGACAGCTTTGAAACTATAAATAAACATCACTACTGGCTTTAATGTAGCCAATTATTCCTGCTTTGACCCATTTTACAGTGACTGAAGATCATTTAATTGATATTGTGGCTCCCAGAAAAATGCTTATAACTCCCGAATGTAATAAGCTAGCGAAACGGGCCTTGTGTCAGCCGAAAGAGCTTGATTTCCTCTATCGAATGAATATCTTTAAATTCCATATCGAGTGTAAAAAATGGTGACTACGCCACTCTCAAAATGTCCAATAAAAATTGAGAAAGACTGACCACTGGTTAATTCTCGATTTCTAATACAGATCGATGTGCCCCGATATCTTCTTTCTATTGGTGAAAACCGCAGGTCGATAGTGGCTTCTGCTTTTAAGTTATTAATAAAGCAACCAAGTGTATAATATTTTGCAATGCATAGTACGTAGAATCTCAGAAAAGTTTAGATCATAAAATTCGCTGTTTCCTCCTTAACGAATAAAGTTATTTTCAAACTTTTTTAGAAGTGATTAGGACTTCTCTTAAAAATCATCGTTACAACAAGGATGTCTGCCACGGCGTTGTTAATCAACGACATAAAAAACGATTTTCTCGCATCAATGGGCACTGCATGCATCGTCTTAGGCACTTTTGGCAATCTTTTCAATATACTCCTTTTCAGAAGACGTGGCCTATGGACTCTTTCACCTTGCATTCCATTTATGTTGGCTGCTTCCATCAGCAACATAATCATCATGTATTCAATACTTCTCACGCGTATGCTCATCGGTTTTAAGATCACACCTACCTATTACTCATCGGCCCCCTGCAAGTTGCTTGCTTACTTTTACAACGCATCAGTCGCCATCTCTAGTTGGTTCATGGTTGGCTGTTGCATCGATCGATTCATCTCGTCGTCACGTAATGCTGTCATACGACGTTACAGTAATATACGCACTACAGGTCAAATCATACTCTTTATAGTTATTTTCTTCTGTCTTTTATATTTGGAAATTTTCTATTGCTATGATGCCAATCAGTTCAAAGCAATTGCGCCATGCTATACGATAAATATTGGATGTACTGTTTTCGACACTTGCATCTTTATCTTCTTTCTATTGATCGGACCCCCTGTGTTCATGCTTATTTTTGGTATCGGTACGTTCATTCATATTCATCAAAGAAGACGTGTTCAACAAATATCAATGAACATGAGTGTAGTGAGAACAATGACAGTGAGCCACGCCGCAGTGTCCATAAGCGGAAATCGAAAGAATCGAACAATTTTGTCTATGCTGATTGTGCAAGTCACTCTATACATAATCTGCTCACTTCCTCTTATTACCATCAGAATTTATGGGAACGTGCCAATTACCATTGTCAAAAGTGATGTGCGTGTTTCCATCGAAAGTCTCATTCTCAACGTGTCCATCTGTTTGAGTTTGGTCGACAAGACATTTGCTTTTTACATTAACACATTAACTAGTGCCTATTTTCGCAGAGAATTTATGAAACTCTTTAAATTACATGGTCATTTACAACGTATTGCGCCGCAGCATTAGCTTGACACTTATGATTTTATTTTATCTATAGAAAAATAAATGTCATATATCATTTTGTTCGATGCATTATTGTAATAGGTTTACTGTCCTTTTCTGATGTACTATTTTACACGAAAGGCCTCCTCTGAGGGCTAATAAACCATGAAAATCAAAACAAATCGAAATGACAAACAATAGACGCATCTATATAGTTCAATATATCTGAAACTCCTGATTGTATTCGTCGACACAAGAGACTGAGAAAACTCCTCCAAAAATTGTATTTTCAAAATAAACCTCAGACTACTACTTAGCTCCATTTTATCGCGTCAATATCTTCCGAAAAGAATAAACCCTTTGATGAGGAATTTATATCCTTTTTCTCTCGCTATGCTCATTGTGGGATACAAAAACAATGAAGTCAATATCATTTGCTTTTTTTGTGACAAAAAGGAAAATATAGTCGGGTGTGGATGTGGGCGAGTGTGGTGTGGGTGTTGGTGTGACAATGTGACATACCCACACCCACATCCATAGTCCCTCTAAAAGCATAACATTTCTACAATGATAAGAAGAATGAAAGAATTTTATTTCTCAACATCTATTAAACAAAAAAAAATGTTTTATATTCATCAATCATTTATTCAGTACAAATGCAAAATTTATGTAGAAATTAATACACATCACACAACTGTAGTCACGGCAATTTTTTGAATAAATTTAAAACAACCAGAGGTCAGGCGTTCACCACTGATTAAAGTCGATACTGCGTATCTTTTTGCATAGTTCATCAAAAACTAACCACTCCCCCCTCATCGAGGAAATACTGCTGTTTTCATTTGATTGAAATTCGAATCCTCCCTGTTTTTATTTCCATGAACTGTACTAAATCGAATGAGACAATGGACATAATAATTCAATTTTGTCGAATGAATTCAATATTAGATATAAATTAGACATCGTCTAGTTAATTGTAAAGAATTTCATCGAAATCAGAATCATTGTTGACCTTCGACTGAAAGAATACCTTACAATTTTTTTTAGGTTTTAGGTCACCTCCCCTCAAAAATCAATCTCAGGCCAGGAACGTTCCAATAGCATAAAGTTTTCAGGATATATTGGGACTGGTTTAGAAAGGCTATGGTAAAATTTTCAGCCCTGTACCATGACGTTTGATGAAGATATTGACCAAACAAGGGTNATCATTTAATTGAAGGTTGGCACAGAAAACTTGAACGATGTGCTAAAGGTGATCAACGATGGGGTGTTTTTCGAGCAAGAAAATAAAATAAAAGTGTGAACGAGCAATCAGCAAATTGTGGTGATACCAGCATAGTGAATTTTTGTAGGAAAAAAACTTATTATTTTATAAAATTAATTGCTCGTATATATAAAATAAAATGAAATAAACAGATTAACATGCATATTTGTTGACTGTCAAACAATCAATATATCAAATTTTTCGGTGCAATATGAATAGATTAAGTTCGAGAGGCATGGGAATATAATTTTTTTCTCTTCCATTTGCATTCTTTATCGCTTTTTTTTCAAACATTTTCGTAACAGAAAAATATGACATATGGGTATTATCTTCTTATCGGTAAGTGCATGTTAAGTACAATGACAATGAAGAAATTACGTGAGATAATGGTGCTTTGTTATCAATGAACTTTAAGATATGACTATGAAAATGAAGCCTAGAAAATGGATCCATCAGATACAATATGCTACTTGGATATAAAGTCATCATTTAGAGGGAGAAACTACATTGGTGAATTTTATCAAAGACAAGCAAATCTAAATAAATATTTGAAGAAAAGACATATACCCAATATATATGTGCGATGTGGTCTCATAAAATCAATACTATTTTCCTGCTTACGAATGTAGCTATTCAAAAATAATTGAAATTATAAATAGAATGAGAATACAAATATTCTCAAATCATTTGCTAAAATGTATTAGAGAAATTTAAAATATATCTATAAGAACGAGCACCAATTGATTTGAAAACCTGTCTTCTCAATTGAATATATTTCAACAATAAAAATTTATTATAATTCTCAAGATTCTTAACATATGGTTTACTTTTCACTAAGTGGTCCCGTTATGACTCTTGCCACAGGTATTGAGTCCGTTTCAAGACAAACTCTAGATATATTTTCAAAAGTTACACTTGCTTTATTAGAACCTTTCGATGAGACTTAATAAGATACAAGCGGTTTACTTACTGTATGTATATCAAAATATGAATCTAAGACATTTTTCTAATACAATCTCTATTTTCAAGTGAAAACAAGTAATTATATAATTATCTATTATCGTGTATGTTCTTTTTGATTTAATTTGAAAGAGATTCATAGCGAGAGACAAGTTTCATTTAAATTAGATGCATAAAAACTGAATAATTTTTTCTTAGTAGACTATAGATAGGAAATCATAGTTCGTAAATGATCGAAAACGATAAGCATAATGATTATTTTTCATTAGTGTAAACAATATGAGATATGATTTTTAACGACCATGCTGACCGACACAGAGAAGAAATATACTACGAACAAATTGAGTCTTTTCGAATGATTTAGCAATATTTAACAGCCTCTCATAAATGTAAAATAGTCTCCGCTTTGGAATACAATTAATTAAAATTCACAGATGGTTCAGTGAACAGTCAACATCATCTACGTTTATATTGATTTTTCAAATAAATTAAACCGAACTAAATTTTAAACAATATTCATAAGTTTACCATTTATTCTGATAAGATTTTCTATTATTTGAAAAGAAATCAAATCACTTTTTTTAAAATTTCAATTGAAAAAAATATTAGTAATGCAAATAATAAAGCGAACGTATATGTTACGAATGAATTGATGACATATATTACTTTGTTCAATATGTATCGATCAAAAAAAAAGAAAGAAAAGAAAAGAAAAGTCAAGTGTACTTCATTCATTTTTTGTTGGCTTCAACAACGGTCAGTCTTTTGATTTCTTTCGTTGTATCCTTACTCTTATGTTATTCAATAAATTCTATTAAGATCATGCAATATTCATATTAACTATGCTTTTCAATTTTATAACATACATTCTTTTTCTGATCCAACTTTCCTTTGGTGATGAATGTCCATTATTTAAGTATTGTACATGTTCGTCAGACAAAACTGTAATAGAATGTACAAATCGTCAATTAACTAATGAACTATTATTAAAATTCACTAATGAATTACCTAAATCAACAATTCTTTTAAATCTTTCATCAAATTTCTTAACATCAATTAACTCTTTATCAAATTTAAATTCACTTAAAATACTTGATTTATCATTTAATAAAATTCAATATTTATCATCAAATATTTTTTCTCAATTTCCTCAATTAACTTCGTTAAATATTCAAAATAATTCATTAAAAACAATTCCAAGAAGTTTTAAGAACATTTCAAATATATATCTTAATCTATCAAATAATCGATTTCATTGTACATGTCAATTTAAATTGTTTAAAAAGACTAATTTTTCTAAAAATATTATCTGTCAAAATAATAAACAATTCAATGAAAATGATTTTTGTCATATGAAAAATTTTCTTCAAATTAATCCACAACGATCACAAATCGTTTATGAAAATGAACAATTTATATTAAATTGTTCATCAAATTTACAACGTTATTGGACATTGAATAAAAAATTTTATCCATCTACTACTACAAAATTTTCATATTCAACAATAATTATTCTTCATTTACAAATGAATCATTCAGGATTGTGGACATGTCATAGTTTTTATTTTAATCATTCAATATGGTTAACTGTTTTAAAAAGTTCATCGCATTATTTTTGTCAAACAGTACAAATGAATACATCAAAAGGTTATTTTTATTGGCCACGTACATCAATTAATAAAAAGATTGCAAAATATTGCCCTTTTGGATCAGCAGCATGGTTAAGAAATTCAAATGAATATGCTCGAGCATGGTACACATGTTCATCTAAAGGTCAATGGATTAATTTTGATGTATCACAATGTGCATTTCAAACAAATATATCACGAGTATTTGATTATTTATCATTAAATGAAACAAATTTATTATCAAGTTTAGTTAAATATCTATCAGAAATAAATCAAAATTATTTACAATTAAATGATATTATTTTATTAATTGATTTAATTGATGAACAAAAAGATAAATATCAATATCAAGACAGAATCATTTTTATTTATCATTTAACAGATTTTATTTTACAAACTAAAAATGATTTTATTTTTTCAACGGAATATCAAATTGCAATAAAACGGTTAGAAAATAGATTTTTATAGGTTATTTTTTTAATAATTTATTTTTATTATTTAGATTAAGATTGATAATAGAACATTTATTGGATTTTACTAATCAATCTTGGTTATATGTTGGAAAAGAATTAACTGCTATGACAGTACAATCATCATTATCATCAACATTATGTTTTATACCTAATCGATCATTGCTAACAATTATTTGTGACATTGATAATCAATTCCATAAGGTTTGATGAAACATGTGAATTCCTTTAATAAATCGTTCGGAAGCCGAAATTTTGTTTGCATACTTCCAATACTTTCATTAATTTGAGTTCAAATTAGATTTTTATATTCTAACACTATTAGTTTCAGTTTGCACATGTGTCATATATTAATATTGTTTCGTGATTGCTAACGACAATTCACTGTATTTTCTCCAATATGCTTCCTGAGCATTCGCCATTGAGGATAGACTTGTTGGTAAAATTCCGAAATCCTAAATCGTTTTGTTTTTCAGTCTCCATTAGCAATAATTCAATTTCCATCTCATTTGAATGGAACAAATCAATATTCATTGTATCGTATTATTATTTATCGTCAATCGACATTATTCACATCAAATGTGATAGCAAATAATAATAATCCAGTTATTCATATACGACCAGGTAAGAATGTCAAACTTTTCTGTTCGAGTAAGACCATACAATAAGTAAATATGTATGAGACTAAATTGGTTTTTTAGTCCCGGTTTCAATTTAGAGAAAACGACTCTAGGAATTATTAGTATGATAGCTAAAATAATAAATTCTTAAATATTCGATTTTTGATTCAATTAGTTAGTGAGTAACGTTATTGGTTTTTTTGTATCTCTTCTTAAATAATGTTTTAATTGGTATAATATGTATGATAATATACTCCAAACCAAAGAACATTTATCTATAATCTCTAGCATCGGGTCGGACAATATTTTTTTATTCTAGTCCTGATCTCGATCTCGGAAACTTCTCTTTCTCAATTTATCATAAATTCATAGTTCCAACTTTTATTTTATGAATAAATTAGCAAAATCGTAATCTTTTTTTTATTGATGATGACTTGAATATGGTTACAATGCTTTAATTAATACATTAATATGGAAGTTAGATAAAACAAACAATATTTTTTCTTTTGGAAAAAAGTTTATACCAAGATCTCTCTCAACAAGATGACGCTTATTCGAAGAGTAATATCGAGAACTCGTATTCATTAGTCGAACACGATTTGCATCTTTGCAGCAGTTGAATTCTCTACTGGTTTCTCTTATACATGTCATCGTTTGACTCAAATTTACTATGTGTGGCTTGTAAAACCGTAATTTATATTTCGATTAAGATTGTTGCACATTTGACTATACGCTTTATTGGTGGTTATTTCTTTATTCTATTGAAAAAAAGAGAGTTAAGACTAGTGATTAATAGTTGGTGTATGTGCTTAGAGATTTTTATTTTCCATTGGAAACGGTTTTAGAAATAAAATGATTATTCACTTCGACTGATTTAATCTGTTGATCAATCTCTATACTAACGCAGGAACATTTCAAGATGATAAAAAAAACTTTTGAATTCGAAAGGTGTCCTTCAATAGGCAAAATATGGACTAGAAAAAACTCAAGAGAATATGGTGTATGCTGCAATTTGACAGAGACATTGACTTTTTACTATGATTTCCCTTCAGCAATCTTTTTCCTCAATAAAGTCAAGCTTTGCAGTTTTAGTCTAAAAGATGATTATCGTGTTATGGACGGACATTATGGAAAAGTCATATCTTAGAGATAAGTTATTGAAAAATTCTGCAATTTCATTCTCAAACTAGTCTAATTTGGACTATGATGTGAGCAAATTTAAGCTAAAATTTGAAAGTCGAAGGAAAATCATTGCGAAAGGTCGATATTTCAAACATATTGTTGCTTGCCTCATATTCTCTTCAGCTGTTTTCTAGTCTATATATTCTTTACTTGCGAATAATACAGTTTTGAACAAAAATAGCTTCCACTCATTCGTTGCCCTCCACGAAATGTTACTATCCTTTATGATATTGAGCTGTTCTTATGAATGCATTCTAATCGCAATAAACTCTAATCACTAGTACCAATCCGTCCGCCATTAGTTCACATGTCCTGAGTTATGATTCACACATAATCTTTCTCTAATGATTACCTCATCTTAACTATATTGGAACACATATTTTCGTTCAATCCCTTATTCGAAAGGCCATCATCATAGCTATCTAGAATTCAAATCTCATTAGAAATTATCTTAAAGTAATTGAGATGTTATCTTCTAATTAAGAATATCTGTTGAAGAGCAAATGCTAGTTTCTAGTAAGATGGCTTTTCCGCAGATAACTTTGATCAATTTTTTGGAAAATTCTCGCAGAAAATTTCTATGAGACGGCAACTCTCTTCTGAAATTTTTCGAACTGCAAAACGAAATGAAATCGAGTTAGCACTGCGACGTGCGTTCACTATCTTAGAGTGTGCTTATTATTTAGATCTTGACTCTGTGTCACGACATTTGGTAATACTCCTGTAGATATTTGGGACTGTCTTTAAGTTTAACGTTAGAAAACAGAAGTAGAATAGCTTGTGGAAAATACAAAATGATAAACAAAAACTTTTTTCGGTACATATTTTCGCTGAATATGTTTTTCATAAGGTAAACAATATGTGTAAATCGTAACTCTAGTACATGTGAACCGATGGAGGATGGGCTAGTGCTTACAGTCNCGTACTCCCCTACGGGAGCGTCACATTGGCCAACCCTGTGGGGGAGTACGAATGTGAGTCGAAAAATCGATTGAAAGATATTCCAAAATAAATCTTTGAAATATCATCAGGGGCCTCCATTAACTTGTTTTCAATACAAAAAACCGAAATATTTTGGGGGCGGAAAAACGGCCTTAACGCCACTTGTACTTTTCTTATGTTTTTCTATAAATTCAGTTCTTTATTATACTCTACAATATCCTTTCACTATGCATACATTCTAATATTTTCATGCAAAACTTTACCATTCACTATCGATATTTCCTGTATCAATGCCATGAAGAACATCATCGATAGTTGCATTTTTACCATTAGTTTTTGCTAATAATTGAAGTAAATGTCGCATAGTTACATCATAAGTCAATTGTGATGATTTATCAAGTATTTGAAATGGTCGTGTTATGGGCATTGTCTTCGATGAACTTTTCAAACGTTGTTCATTATTATTATTGATTTGTTTTATTTCTTTAGCAAAAAATTTATTAACAATATTTATATCAAATTGTAAATTATTTAATGAAGATTTTGTTGAATTCAATGATGATTGTGTCCAAATACTTGCTTCATTATATTTAAAATTATAAATTGGTCTTGCACGAATTTTAGCATATTTATAATTTGTATGATCAAGTAATGGTGATGGTGTTTGATGAGGAAGATAAACACTACTATCACCAGTATTACTTCTTACACTTAAACTTGTATGTGTTCGTTTTTTTGTATTAGTAACTGTAAGAAAATCTTGAAATGGTGGTGGTGCCGGTGTAGAAGAAACTTTATCAGGTAAGGCTTGTAAATTTTCTAAAAGATTACGTTTTTTCAGTAGATTATAGCCTGAAGAAAATCAATACATATTTATATAATTAAGAATAGGAAAATCATTTTTACCATCAACACCCGTCGCCCAATCGACCGGATTGACCGAAGAGCTAGAGTAGTTCGGCATAATTGTGTAAATAAGTACGGTAATAGAAACGATAGTGAATAAAATAAAAGAAATAATGATTTTAATGCTTGCCGTTGTTCGTCTTATGGAAAAGAAATCAGATAAAAGATGATTTTTCCAATACGAAAGAGAAAGAAGAGCGTGTACACGCGACAAAATTCGAATGAAATCTTTGTTCATGAATAGTGAATATAAACATCGCATATTTATTATATCGAAAGAAAAAGAAAAGAAAATTTTCCTCTAATTTACTAGTATTAAAGAAATTTATTCAGTTAATCGAAAAGAAAGTGTTTTTATTTGTTGGCACGATACCAACTGTGTAAATCAACGGGGAAAAATAGGCTGTGCCGAATATGAATTATACAATATTATATACACATAGTAATAGAATTTTTAAAAATGAACCTTTTGAAAAGCATATTTAATTAAATAAATATACTAAAATGAAATATATTTTCAAGCAAGATTTTTCTATCATTGCTGCAAATGAGAATTTTTCTCTTCCCCTTCTATATAACGAAATTTTTCGTTCGTGCGACTATCAATGACATCTGTCTATAAAAGATTTACTTTTAATAAAAAAACTAAAATATAAAACATATGGAAATATTTTTACAATATTGTTTTCATATCAATTTATATAAACATATAGAAAAAAAGTGTTATGTTCGTATATCATTCGATAATAAACAAAATCCAATAAAAATTTGCTACGGACTACTAGTTTAGTCCTTGTTTTTTTGAAGAGAACTTAATTAAATTCAATCAAGTATCGTCAAGTTCAAATGAAACATTCCGTGTGTTTGTTTTTTATCTGTTCATGGATAATTTTGAATGTTCTCGGTCAACAGGTTAGTTTTTTTTGAAAAAAAAAGAAATATTGTTTTTTGAATTCATTTAAATATAATGTCAGGATGTTCTGTCGGAAAAAATTCGACAATTAACTACATGGTCACTTAAAAAGCCAGTCATTCGTCTAAATACTGAACGTTTTAATGATTATGTTAAAACATCACAAAGAGATTATGCCATGATGATTATGTTTACAGCATTAGCTCCACAACGACAATGCAGTATTTGCAAGTAAGATTAATGAAATATTTTGTGAATTCTTATTTTTCTTTTTTCTTAAAGACAAGCACGTGATGAATTTGAAATAGTTGCACAAAGTTATCGTTATTCAAGTGCATTTTCAAATAGTCTCTTTTTTGCCATGGTCGATTTTGATGAAGGTTCTGATGTATTTCAATATGTATGTATTATTTTATATTACGGTTAAATATTTTATATTTCTTTCTCGTAGTTAAAATTAAATACAGCACCAGTATTTATTCATTTTCCACCAAAAATGAAACCAAAAAAAAGTGATTTTATGGATATTAGTCGGTAAGTCAAGAATAGTACCAATTGATAATTCATATTTATTTATATTAGTACGGGATTTTCTGCTGAACAAATGGCAAAATGGATTCATGATCATGCTGATGTTGAAGTAAGTTTATGAATATGTACAATAGAATTCATTGAATCTAGGATTGAAAAAAAAATATTCAAGTCAAAAATTAATCTTTCATATCGATTAGATTGTCATGCCACAATCAACATAAATATCCTATTTTAATATTAGACATAACCATCAAAAATCTAAATAGATTCTACTTTTCATCAATTTGTATCTGATAGCCATTTTTGTTGTTTTGGCTTCTCAGGTTGTCGAAATTTATGTATTTTTTTTTACATACTAATATTGTGATGATGTTTAAATGGAAGCAAGAGACTATTCGTCATTAAAATGTCAGGAAACTATGCATATCAAAACGACAAGATTAAGTGAGACATTTATTGAGTTAATACACTATGTATCTGTCGAGAATAGACGTATAAGCACATATTAACAAGTAAAAGCAAAAATGAATTTTTGAGTAACAATGTTTTGAACAAATTGGAAAAGACATACCAAGTTCTGTCATATTATAAAAGTATAAATATGAAGAAAGAAACAAAAAGAACTAATCAATCATTTATATATGAGGATGATGATGACAATAATAATCTATTAGTAATTTTATGAGAGAACGTTTCCAACTGTCGAATTATTTTTCACTTGAGATTATTGCCATTGAGAATCAATCATTATCTGTAGTCAAAAAAATCTGTTTTAGTCTGATTTTCCTCTCTTTGCTTGTTGAGTTACAAGAGTTGTGATGTTTTTATTATCGTTAGAGACATTTTCAAGTTTGATTTAAAATAAACATATCCGTATCGAATGCATTCTTTTTAAAACACAGCCCAAAACAGGTATCTCTTTAAAATATAAATATCTTATCAAGGATATGTTTGTACTGGTTCAAATTGTCAGATGTTTCTATTGACAATAGAATCTATATATGGGCATAATAGCAGTTGGAAATTCGATCATATAGGTTCTCAGCAATTCTATGCTTATAGAATAAAAATCAATCAAAACATTTGTAACTCAATAACTGCAGACGGGAAAACCAGATCAAAACAGACATTTTATTTTGACTACACGTCTCAACCGATCGAGCAGCAATAGTCTCAAATGAAAAGCAATGCGACAGTTAGGAATATTTTCTTGTTGGCGAAATAGATAAATAAACGAACATTGTAGTTAAAATTACTTGCTAATGTCATGTTTGTGTGCAGTTAAATGCAAAAAAAAAATATCATTTCTCATCTTTCAGCAGCAAAAATTGATACACAGACGGATAGACTCGATTGCCTGTTTGGATCTTTGATAAACATAATCCTCTTCAATAAATTACTAGACATAACAAGCAATAGAGATCTCAATATGTAATTCGTCTTGAGATATTCTCGAATCATATTTTAAATATTTGATTATTAAAACACTTTACTAACATGGTTTCAAATGTAATTACTAGTTTTTGAAGTTCTGAAAGATAATATGCTTAATATAAAACCAAAAGAAATCAAAAATATTATTAAAATTATTATTTTCATGTTCTTTAGATTCAAATATTTCGTCCACCAAATTATACTAAATTTGCACTCATAGCATTAATTATAACAATGATTCTTGGTTTACTTTATGTTAAACGAGATAGTTTCAAATTTCTTTGTAGTAATATTCTATGGGGATTATTTGTAATCGTAAGTATTTAATATTGATTTTATTTTCAAATTTATACAAATTTATTATATTTTCGAATGAAAAACAAAAGAAAATTCAATAAATCAAGACAACAGAGATATCCTATATCTATTTTTAGCTTGTTATTTTATTTTGTATTTCGGGACAAATTTGGAATAGTATACGTCATCCAGCTTTTGATCATCGTAATTCACAAACAGGAGAAAGTGTAAGTGTGTTTTTTTTTATTTTTTTTAGGGTATTGTTTGTTATTTCATCTCTGGACAAACGTGGAATCTTATAAATTCACCACCACTTATGCCCCAACATAAACATGATATGGTAAAGTAATTACATGCGTGCGTGTCAATTTCACATATTATTTTCAGGGATTCTTCTCGGACGATTCAAATATGCAATATATTGCTGAAACATATATAGTTTGTAGATAAATATTAAAAAAAATTGACATCAGCAATAACGATTTTTGGTAATAGAAATAGGCAATTCGTTATTTTATGCACATACACGCATGTAATTCTTTGCTAAGAGATTTTTCTCTCTTTTTGTTTTTAAGGAAAAACTTAGATTATTATGTTTTCAATAAAAGAAAGACAAACGAGTTCGATATCGTTTTACTGTTATTATTTATAGGGTTACTTCAGTGGAACTTCAGGATATCAATTCGTAGCCGAAACTTATATTGTAAGCTATTTGTAATGTGTATGTGCTCTAAGTAGTAGGATATAAAGCACGGAATGAAATTGCCTGTTTCTTACTTCATTGCTATTGCTTTTGTTACCATGAATGTTTATTAACATATATGAATATTAATCAAGATTTTTTTTTGTTTAGGTCTTCTTACTCTATATCCTTTTCTGCTAATTTATTACATTGAAATTCGATTTTGTTGTTTTTTTTTTAGGAAAGAAAAATATTTATTTTATTTTCCTTAACTAGGATTTCTTTCTTTTTTTTTTCTTCTACATTTTGGAGTTTCTGTTGGCGTTATACTATTAAATGAAGCACCTAAATTGAAGTCTCAGAAGGGAATACGAAATAGTATGTCAAATAAAAAAAAAAAAGAAAATTTTGAACTATTTAAATTTATATTTATTATTCTAGGTTTTATGGCGGCTATTGGTATTGGTACGGTCGTTGTTTTGTTTAGCTACATATTGTCTATTTTTCGATTTAAAAATCAAGGTTATCCATATAGGTATGAAATTTCTTTTCTTTTTTTTCCTATGAAATGTTTACAATAAACGTGAAATTCGTTTTATTTTAGCTTTTTACTCAAATAACATGCAAACTGCGATAAATAATATTAGTAATATTCTATTATCATTTAAAACAAAAACAAGCAATATATGACATTCTACTTAAAACATATAAAATTTCTTTTGATTATTGCTTTTAATGTTACTCTTTTGTTTTACTCAACCATTATCTCATTCGATAACTATAATAAACAACTAACATATCTACTTGACAATTTCATATTGTTTTGTCTTTCTTTATTGTCACTTTTAAAATCTAACTTTATAATAGAAAAAATATCACTTCTGTTTTTTTTGTTGTTTTGACTTATTGTTATTCGAAATATATTTCCTTTTTTTTTTCTGTTCGATAAATAATTCTATTGATTCATTTCGAAACTGACCTATAATCAAATACTATTGAAAATTGATGTTATTGTTATCTTTTATCGAATAGCTTTTTTTTTTATGATGAATTTGAAGTATTTAATAGGTCTTATATTACTTTTTTTAAAGCTTAATCTAATCGGTATCAAGAGTCATATTTCGAAAAAGGAAGAACAAAGACCCTGTTTTTTTTTTAGTCATTTGCTTCATTATTTGTTGATACAAAAAATAAAACATTTCAAGTTAATGAAGTCTATCGAAAATCATTTCAGAATTTGAAATCAATTTTCTATTTTTTTGTGCTTTGACTTGATTAAAATAAAATCATATCAAGGACTTTTTTTCTTCTATCGAAAAACCCATTAACAAATACAATAAATGAAGAAACATACGAAAAAAGAAGAAAATTAATATTCTCATTTTTTACATGTATAGTTATCACATATACGTAATATCGAACAACGGAGGCATATATTGAAATTGTGATGATGAATTGTATATTGAATATATACGTAATCAACTATGAAAATGGTGACTATTAAAACAAGCATTGATAATAATGTTGTGAAAGTGATGATGAAGAATTTTATGAATACTTCAATGATAATGAAAATGTTGCCTCTTTATTTCGATGAAACAAATAGAGAATAGATCATATTTTAGATAAACATAATTGTTTATCAATGAATAAATAACAAATAATAAAGAAATTACTAAGATCTAATTTTCATGTTAAACATTCATATTGAAGTACATGACAAAATGATAGTTGTGCTTCACGTTTTGTTGTCATTACCACAATAAATGCTGTTATTGATGAACTAAATTTTATCTTTGTATATCCTTATTTTGACGTTGAACGTTGTCGTAATTAGTCTGTATGAAAAAAAATCTAATAAAACATTAACTTATCAATAATTGATGTCCGGTTATTATGTTTTTTGTGTATTCGATAAAAATAAAGAAATTTATAATTCTAGACGACCTTCAGAAAATAAATTCAATCGGAATTAAACTTGAAGATTTTCAATTAATTAGCAAATAATTGATCGAATATATATTTTCTTTCGTTAATGCATATATATTTTTTAATTTATTTTTATGTTTACCTATTTGATGTGATTCATTCGGTCGTAAAAGAGCAGAATAGATGAAAGAATTATTTATTTCTATTTTGCCAATCTTTTTTTCCTATAGAATTCTGTTCTTATTTGTTCGTTTGTTTTTCTTTTCTATTAACTAAATAAAGAACTGTTTCTCTCGTTCTCTCTGTCTACATCATTCTCATCATTCCAATAACTAGAAATAAATATATATCTAGGGATCATTGATATTTTCTCTATTTCCAATCAATTGTTTGTACTTAAATAATCAGATGACTTTGACCGTATCGGAAACGAATGACTGGCAATAGATTATTTATATAGAAGAAACATACATACTTGTCTTCGTTTGTCTTTATATTGTACAACGTTTATTTTTCCATAAGTATCCCTTTCTTTCTCTCTCTCTCTCTCTCTGTCTCTCGTTCTTTTATTGCAGAATAGGACGAAGAGAGTAAGAGAAATAACATTCGACTTTTTTTTGCTTCTATTAAAAAGAAAGAGGCCCAATTTCGATATCTTTGTCAAATGGTGAGTCGCTTTTTTTTATATTCTTTTTCTCGTGACATCTGTTTGTAAATATATAGAATAGTATTTTCCATTAGAAATAGTTGGAATATATATCCATAAGTAATATAAACTAACACATAAGAAATGTTTAGTTATCATTGTTATAATAACTATATAGTAATCTGTTAAAGCTTGAGAAAGAACAGAAGGACATATTGCATATTGTGTCATGTAATATAACATATAGGTAAGTTGATCAATCATTTTATATTTAAATTTTCGATTCGTTGTATATGTATATATATAAACACAATGCGAACGAATATGTAAATCAAACAAAATGCAGCATATATGAGATTGTGTCTCTCTAACATACCATTCAACGGAAGTAATAGACAAGAAATAGAGAGTTGAGATGCGTGATTTGTTTATATTCTCAGTTGGGAGTACCCAATTTTGACAAGGGCATTTTTATGTAGAATACAGCTCTGTCATTCTTATATTTATATGCAAGGTTTTTTTTTTGTATGTACTTTGATAAAAGTAAAGAATAAGAAAGTTACTTTTTTTTATTTGTCGATATACATTTTTGCACTTAAAACGTGCGCAATCAATGGTATTAATGATTGGTAAAAATGTTTCAAGTCATATTGATGGGATTATATGTAAGTTCGATTACATACACCATTGATTAGTAGATCTATATAGTAGGATGTAATAATTCAAGAAACATTGTCTTCTGTTCTTTGTATGATTTTTTTTTTCTTATCTGGCGTCTTTCTAATAGTAATGCTCGCAATACCGCAAATCGCATTATTTCGAATCTTACTATTTGAGGGTTTTTTTATAGCACAAAACATGTTTTGTAAGACAAGTATGCATATTAAAATTTTATGGTAGAGTAAAAAACATACGATATATAATACATTTTTTCAGGGTCAAATAATGATGACATGAAAAAAACGTTATTATCATCATCATTTAGAACAGAAGCTGTCTATGGAAAGAGATATCATTGTCAAGGTTAACAATTTTCATTTTTAGACTAATAGACTGATTAGTACTTATCAAACATATTTAATGTTACTTGCTTTTTAGTTGACATGTTGATGATAGATTTATTATTATTTCAACATAATGAAACAAGAAAATGAGTCCTTGTTTTATACATAGTTTCTGACAGATACTTAACACAGTAGTTGATTCTACTATTTTTAAAACATGATATCGTTATTTCCGTTGACAATATTTATTATCATTCCATTCATATTTTTATATGTACTTCATTGTTTTTTTTTTATTAAAAAAATATTCGATATACCGATTTAGACAAGTTTGTTCTGTTTCTCTCAAGTACTAACCTACATATATAATTTAATTTAGTTCAATTTCGTTCCAGAGCTAATTCATAATCGGTATGACGCAATATAACCTAACTCAAAAAAAAGCTCGATCTAAGTATCTCTTTTTCTTTCTGCTAAAATGATAAGTGTATAATCCTTGTAAAACAAGGCTGTTTGACTTCTCGTGTTGGTTATATAATTGTTGCTTTTTTTTCCTCACTCGGTTTATTACGCTTGACTATTTTTTAAGCTCATTTTATATACATACATTTATTTATGCATAGAAAGAGAATAAATATAACGAAATAGCATCCATTGGCATTTGAAGAAAGAAATTTTCTACAGAGAACCATCACACAAATTGAATGATCGTTAGTATTCTCTAACGATAATCGGTCGTGTGTGCGTGTGCGTGTGTGGCTAGAAGGAAGAGCAGATTGTCTTTTTCTTTGTTTCAATACTACGGAGTAGTATCGTGTAGATTCTTATATACACATATTCAGTTACTGAACAACGTATGATGCTTAATATGGACTTCTCGATGATCGACGGCCAATGATTGCATCAGAATGTAGTAAAAGAAAAAAAACTGTTGTTATTAGGAGGGCATCCGGATACTTTAGAGCAGAAGAAATGTGATTCGAAGAAATATATATATATATATATGTATACTTTATAAAGTTATTTTTTATCAATAAGGTTATTTATCATCGTTGTCTTCTCATTGGAATAAGTGAGTATATATATATATTCTAAACATCTAGATAACAAGTAAAAACTAAATCGTACCATTGTATCATCACGTTCATATTCACAAATCGACGATTGATATGTACATGTTTATCAATCTTTTTCTTCTTTAGACGAATGCTAGTCTAGTCATTATTGATCAAATATGACGCTTATAATCTATATAATTATTCTTATTGTTATCTCCATAATAAATGTGAGAGGAAAATCATGCGATATTCTTGAAAATATGTCATGTGAATGTCACTCATCATTAAATGGTGAAATTGAACAGTTAATATGTAATAATTATAAAAATTCAATGTTTACAGAAATAAAATTAACAAATGAAACTCTACAAACTAGTCGTTCATTTGATTCAATTCATTTAATATTTTATGATCATGAATTTAATGTAAGTTCAATGTTTCTTAATGAATTATCTTATTTATTTCCTCGAACATTATTATTAAATCGAGGAGAAAAAAAATTAACAATTAAAATTATATTATCATTTCCGAATTTTCTTCAATTACATTTTGAAGATTATTCATTTTATCAATTATTTAATCAAAATTTTAATTCTAAAACAATTCTTACATTAGAATTAACATCTAATGGACAAATAACATTTTCATCTAAAGCATTTGATCAATTAACAGTTGATCAAATGTTTTTACATACATCATCATTAGAACCATATTCATTTGAAGAAATTTTTAATAATACAAATATTGGTGAATTAACAATTGAAGGTAAAAGAAATATTTTCTTTTCTTTTCAATAAAATAAACATACAAAGAATATATATTTAGGTTCAACACCTCGAAGTAATGAAACATATAGACAAAACTTTAATGGTAAAATTCAATTAGCTAAATTTACTAAAATGGTCGAAACTATTTCAAATGAAGAATTTCCTTCTTATCCTGTACGTTCAATGATTATTGAAGCACATGAATCAAGAAAAATGAATGCTTCAACATTTATGAACTATCGAAATTTACATGGTCTTCATTTAATTCGACCAAAATTTTTCTTTGATAATCGTACATTTGATAGTTTTCAATATCTAATTAGTCTTGAAATAATTGAACTTGATGCTGAAACAATAAAAGGTATTTTTTGATTTGAAAATTTCTATTTTCTTTTTTTTTTTCAAATCTAAAATAAAAATAAAATCATGTTTTTTTTTTTTGTTATAGATAATACATTTCAACATGTATCACGCATTCGATTTTTTACTCTTGGTCAAAATACTCGTTTTTTATCTGAACATTCATTAGATTATTTAGATTATTTAGTACATTTTGATGCATCAAAAATAATTCTTGATCAATTATATCCATCATCAAGATGTGTATTAGCACGTTTTATTGAAAAACAATTAAAATTAAATCCATCAATAATTATTTTACCACCACAAGCTGAATATTGTGATTGTGTTTATGATGTTATTTTAACAATGTTAAATAAAAAAGCTGATCAATCATATACAGATTTATGTTCAGAAAATCAAGAAGAACGTTGTCAATTAAGTCAATGTAATGTTATTAAAAATTTTAGTTTATCACTAATAAAAAATATAACTGATGAACAAATTATATTATCAATTGATAATAATATTATTAGTACAACAACAACAACACCACCATCACCACCACCACCATTATTTCCTATGGATAATGGTATCACAACAACAGTACATCAATTGCCAGCTTATGCTCATCGACATCCACCTGTCGATCATCAATCACAAATAAATAATAAATATGAACGTATTGATTCATCTGATACAAATATAAAAGTGATTATTCAATATATCGTTTTAATAGAAAGACACAAAAAAAAATGTTTTCTTTGTTTTTTTTTGTTTTGTTTCTTTAGGATTCTTATGTATCACCCCTTATAGTAAATAATCCGATTGATCCAAATGCAATATCACCTGATGATTACGAAGAATATATCGATTCAACATCAGCAATGGATAATTTTGAAACAACAATTAATCTATATGATGAACAACGTCTAATAGAAATGAAAAATGAAACATTCAAATGGATATCATTATCATTAGTATGTATTACTATATTATGTCTTCTCTTTGTTGGTACATTAATATGGTGTTGTACTTGTCATCCATTGAAACGAAATTACAAAGCAGGATTTCGACCAGTTCAGCAAAATGGTTCAAATGTTTAGCTTATTATTTTTTCTCTATGCCGTAATCTTGCTGCAAGTCTTTCAAAGAAAAACAAGCAAACATATTAAAAAAACAAAGAGTTACAAAAAAAAAATACATTTTCTCCCTCTATTTAAATCTATCCGGTGATAAAAACTCTCGTTTTTTTTTCTCTTTTGTTTTACGTAATATTACATGTCACAGTATTCATGAACAGCAATGTTTACACAAATGGAATAGACCAATTGCAATGTATTGATAGAGAACTACGATAGTTATTATTGACCTTGCTTCGTATGAGAACAATTATGTATGGATGACGTACATATGTTCTTTTTACATGGTCATCATTTAGTCAACTCAGGGATAATGTTCGTTAAAATACATATATATATAATATACACTTTAATGTCCATCAACATTCCCATTGATTGAAGTTGATATAGATCTTTACATTAGAAAGAAAATAGTTGAAGAGAAAGAAATTAAAAAAAAAAATTTTTTTTTTGAAATTCTATATTATATACTGTTTTTCCTTATCCTTGTGCTTGTATGTGTGTGTTTTGGCATGAATTTTTTTTTCTTTGTTTTTATTTCAATAGTATAGATCATTGCACCAATACACAAATTTTTCTTTTGGTTTATTTATAACCATAAATATATGTTCATTTTGTTATTTATTTGAATATCTTTGAAGAATATTGATTTCATTTATTGTAATTTGCGGTATTGTTATTTTCATTTTTCGATATATGATTGTTCGAGGATCTCGTCGTTTATAATCATTAATTGTATTTTCAAATTCGTAAAACATACATTTGGGAGTTAACATTGTATCAAGTGAAATAGATACGAAGTCATGATGATCATTTTCCTGTTGATCTAGATTAAGTGAGTTAGGTAAAGGTGCAGGTCCTTTCTTTGCACTAGTAAAATTGTTTGTATTGAAAGAAATAACAGGAGGTAGTATTTCTTGTTCTAAATTAGATGATGATTGCAAATCTTGACTTTCATTTCGTTCTGAATCAACTGAAAATGGTAAAGATACTGGTGAATTTTTAACATCAGTAAAAGTGTTTGAATCTGAAGGATAGGGATAATATAAAATTGTATCACGTGAAATATTTAATGATTCGGAATGTTTATTTTCCTGTGCACTGTTATTAAATGATTTCGGTAAAGTTGTAGGTGGTTTCTTTAAGTTTGTATCACTAGTTGTATTTGGAGGAATAGCAGATGTAGTAGTATCTTGTAAATGATTTGATGATGATTCAGAATGTTTATTTTCATTTCTACTGTTATTTAATGGTTTTGGTAAAGTTGTAGGTGGTTTCTTTAAGTTTGTATCACTAGTTGTATTTGGAGGAATAGCAGATGTAGTAGTATCTTGCAAATGATTTGATGATGATTCAGAATGTTTACTTTCATTTGGATCGATAGTTAATGATTTCGGTAATGTTGCGGTTGATTTTTTTAAACCTGAAACAATAATTTCGGCTAGTTTTGCATCACGTGGAAGAGTTCTTTCATTGGATGATTGTGATGATGAAGTAGTAGAATCAGATTTTGTTGGATTTGTATCATCTAAATAAAACAAGAATAAAATAATAAGAAGAATTGAATTTGAAAAATTCACATTCCATAATAATCTAGTGATTATAGAAAAGAACAAAAGAAGATGAGATTATCAGTTATATATATAATCTATAATTGAATAAATCAAAATCTTACCAAATGATTGATTTAAATCATTAGATTTTGATTGTTCTAATTTTTCTGGTTGAGATGACTCTAATAATGATCCGCTATTAATGATGTGTGGTTTAGGTGTACGAATTCCCATGACTGGTTTTTGATTGAATTTTTTTAATTTTTCAGCAAAACTTTCACCGTCCATTTTGTCTCAAAAACCGTTAACAATATATTATTATTTAACTTAGAAATATAAAAAGAAACAAATGAATAATTAATATAGAATATGTAACAAAATGAAGAGTAAACTTTCTCTTTTATTATATACGTGTATGTCTTTGTTATCAAGTTACTCTTCATTCTCTTAATAAATAGAAGTATCTTGACAACAACAAAAAAAAAAAAAGATAATGATATCATTAAGAGTTTACTTTTCAATTCATTCTTGAGAAGAAAAATTCATGTCAAGGACAAGGATTAAATTTAGGTTGTATTTGAAAAGTAAACAATTAAATTAACCATTCGATATTTAAAAATTTCTGAAGAAGACATTTGATAAATAAATGCAAATATAAAATCAATCAAAACAAAATAAATGAAATCATATTGAATCTCTGTATTTAACAGATTGTAGAAGACATTATTTTTTTTTTCAATATAAAACCAATCTGTAACAACATACACATATGTAGATTCATTTTTCTAGACTTTTGCTAATGTTAATTAAAAATCGAATAAGTCAAAGATGTTCTCTCTTATCAATTTATTGCTTTCAATAATCGAAATAAGAAACAAGGGAATATTAAGACGAATAAAATTAAATGAAGTTTAATAATTCATTACACTGATAAAAAGTGTCCAGGACAGTTGCTCATTAGGACACTTCAGGGTGTGCATGTGGATGAAGAGAATAATCATATTTGCGAACAACTGTCCTGTCGAGCAGATATGTTAACGAGCAGCTGTCCGCGAGCAACTGTCCAGTTTTCCATAAAAATGGAACACTTTTGAACAAACAACTGAAATTATTAATCTATACAAAGCAGTTGTTTTATTTTTGATTTTATACATAATTTCACTACGGAAATATGTCATCGAACGATTGAACAACTTTATTATACTGATCATCTATCGATTAAATCTTGTTTATGATTGAAAGATAATCATTTCTGATTGTAATCCATATATAAAAAGCAAATATGTTTCTATGATATATGAGCTCAAATGATTTCTTCTAACTATGATTCTTTTTTTTTTTTACGCACTGATGAATTCCTATTGAATTTCATATACAACAGTATCCTCTTGTTTATTCCTTTCGACTTTGAAAAATCATCGGTCACTAAAAGATGTCGTTCTCGACTTATTCAATTTCTAGTCGATTATTATTAAATCTGGTGTTGACATTTATTAACACTTTGGTTATCGATGACGCATATATACGTCATGAACTTGATCATTGCTTCAAATTAATGCAATTACTTATATTGTACGTTGTTTTAGGTGCATTTTAGTAAATATCAAAATCAAACAACACAGAACTTTTCTATCTTATCATTTTGTTACAGTTCATTCTAAACTCTTGCGATAAGAAACACAGACATACATGATGTTACAACTACTGTATTCTACATCTGTTTATCTTTTGTCAGTCACCAAAGGGTTAAAAGATTCAGTGTTCTTGTAGATTGACGATATTCTCGACACTAATTGTTCTAATTGGCAATAGCGACACATCAAGGATGGCAGGCACTGCTGTGTCGCTGCTCTGTAAACGTACTTAATACTTACAATATGTCTAAATATAGATTGCATTTTAATGAGAATACTAAATGAAACTATTGCTTTGCATAAAATTTTATTTAAAAAAAGCCAGATGGCATTAATAATCGTTAATGACCTTTCAAAACATTTTTTTTTTCATTGGATAAAAATTTTCTTCAATCAAGCATATTCTCATCCTATTGAATAGCGAAGCGTGGCAGGTAGTAATATTCATATGCAATTAAAAGAAAAAAGTGCAAACATATAAATTTTCTTGATCAATCAAAACATCCAAGTGATTATACTATTAAAAAAATCTCAATGAATTCTTTCTATTTTATCATCACTATTTTTGCTTTACTTTATACATTTGATAATACGAAAGGTAATAATGATCTACCTAAACGAGAAAAAACGCATGTAAAAAAAGATCCACGAGATTATACAGATAGAGATGCAGAAAGTCTTTTTGAAGAATGGGAGGTAAAATTAAAAATTCAATTATTTTTCTTTTATTTATATGTCCATATATGTGTATACAAATTGTAGGATAATGATGATGATATTTTACCAGATGATGAACGACATGATGCTTTTCTTCGTAATAAAAATCGAGGTGGTCTTCGACCAGAAGATTTAGTTGGTAAATCACATGACGATATAATGAAATTATCAAAAAAAGGACAAACATTAATGATGTTTGCTACTGTTTCGGGTTCACCAACACGACGTGAAACGGAACAAATTACTCAAATATGGTGGTCAGGTTTAAAAAATGCTTTATTTGATGTCAATAGGTAAATTTATTTTTATTTAAACGAAAGAAGAACGATTATTTTTTTTTTCTCAGATATGTTATTGATGATAATCGTATTTTACTTGTTTTATCCGATGGTTCACAAGCATTTGATGTAAAAAATTTTCTTATACAACAAGATCGTTGTCAAGAAGTTACTATTGATAATAAGCCTTATTATGGCAAAGGTGCCGCTAAAGTAAGTTTATATATATATATATATACAATGGCTCCAAAAAAATTGATCATACAGATTTAATGGCAATGTTTTTTCTGCAATAATAATTTCGATAAAGCATCTAAATAGTCATTTGAATAGCAAAAATTGTTTTCAACACGAATTCGAGGAAAATCAAATCTTTACAGTATACCTAAAAATTGCAATCTCAAAAAAAGCCAAAATCTAGTTTTTCAGCACACAAAACATGAAAATAAGTTTCTTGTAATTATATACAGCAACTGATACTTTTAGAATATGAGATGACTTCAAGCATTCCAATCAGATCCCCTCCAGGAGTCGAAAAAATTTTTCATCGTTAATTTAAAAATTTGATATCTGTTCTAATAGAATTTGTCGTGCTGGTGCTGATCACGAATATCATATTTTTATTGAAGTTTGATTGAATGATAAAAAATATTACAACTTTTTTTGTGCAAGTTTATCTAGATTTATGATAGGAAATAAATAATTCTTGACCATAAAACCTTTTCTAAAGTAATGGTTGGAGTACTTAAATGACTATGATCTAACCAAAAATTTTCTTCTTCATTCGAATTAGAAGGGATCTGCAAGAAATATCCTTTTACTAGGCTCAATTTTGTACATATTAATGAAAAGTTTCTTTTTCTAACTCCATGAAAAAGCTTCCATACACTTCTAAATCTATATTGCATACACCATTTTATCTGCTCTTTCAAACAAACATATTTCTATTAGGAATGAAAGTGAATTAGGTACCCCACGAGCACTTACAAGGTAAACTTGCAGCTTAGAAAGCATCACAGTATCCTCAAAACACTTATGTGTTAAATTGTAAAAAAACAATATATAACTTGCGCTTTGGTTTTAAAGGTAATCGAGATTTTTGAGAGACAATGGATGGATCATAAAAACTAATCATTGATTTCAGTTTGAAGGATTTTTAGCGTTAGAAACGAATTTCGTCTTCATGAAGGTGTTCTATAAGGGTCAGAATCAGAAAGTTCCTCATATTTTTCTTATTATTCAGTTAAATTTCAATAAAAAATATGATATTCGTGAACTGTACAACGAGTTCTATTAGATCAGATGTAAAACTTTTTTTGGATCCATAAAGAGAACCTCAGACGCAATAAATAGTGAAGTCAGATTTCAAAAGTTTGATCTCACAAAATTCACTTCTTGTTTTATTTTCGAGTTATGGGCGCTAAAAAACTCGATATTACGGAGACCCTGTACTTTGCGAATATTATGAAGATTTTATTTTTCTGAAATTCTTGTTGAAAATAATTTTCTCTATTCAAGTAACTATTTGAATTCTTCATACGAGTTACCATGACGGAAAAAAAATCGAAATTAAATCTGTATGATCAACTTTTGGAGCTACTTCTGCATTTAAATTTTTTTAAAATTAAAATTTTTGCTTTTTTTTTTCTTTATTAGGAAGAAGATAAAAAGAAAAAGAAAGATCTGTGAGCACATTTTCTAGTGCAATCTTATGTGAAACAATCTTTTCGATTCCTAGTCTCTTACAATAGTTAGTTAATCTCGTAGTTTTGGCAATATATCTTGTTTGTAAACTGTGATTATAATTCTAATTGTCTTTCTTTTAACTTGATACAAATCATGTTTATCTCTTTTTTTCTTTTATTATGATTATATTTATTTACTTCTAATAATTTTACTAATAAATATAAAATTATTTCTTTATTAGAGGAGAATTTATATAAATCTTTACATAATATTTATTTTTATAAAGATTAGATAATTATTTAAATAATATTCAATATTAAATTTACAAACAATGAAAAATCAACTAAAAGTAAGTTTATTTCATAATTTACATCATAGTAAATTAATATTGTACAGTGAGATTTAAATTATATGTGTATGTATGTAGAAAAGTATTGTTTTTGATGTTTTTATTCATTTGTTTTTTTGCACAATTATAAATAATATCAAAAGATAACTATGTTGATAAGTATAATCATTATTTTTTTTGTTCATTTGTTAGAATATAATGGAAATAGTTAATCTTAAGAAAAATATGGCAACAGATACAAATATATCTTCAAAATAAAAAAAAATGAATCAGAGTTATATGTATATTTTCATTTAAATCTAAATTGTTGTTGAATTTCAAGAGAATGCATCGACTAAAAAAGAATGATATCATCAGCAATTTGATAATGACTTTTTTCTTTTCAAGATTTATACTTGATTATTTTTTCAGAAAATGCAGTCTCATAGTGTCAACTAAAACTTGATCAGACTTGTTTCTGAAGTATGTTAAGAATAAATATCAAACGAAACTTGTTGAAGGCATATAAAACAAACTACTTTTCGGAGCAATTTTTTTTATAACAACTTTTGAGTATTTCAAACAAGTGTATAGGCAATGACACTGAAGTGAAGATATTTTGAAGTATTCTCTTTTTTCTTTGCAAGTAAATATTGATTGAAATCAAGGTGAGTATTGAAAAAATCTAACAATTCAGTTCGTAAACCAAAATATGTAATTAAAAAAATTGATTGTCAGCTGAATTTAAGAAAAGCTATTAGTACTGAATCTAATAAAAAAAATCCATTCGTATAAAAGCAAAAACAAAACTCGTGCTCGCAAGATACTATTTTATCTTCGTTATTTGACTTTTTTCAGGAGTTCGACAACTACCGATTGAAATAGGTGATTTCTTTTCCTAAGTCTCAAAATGGAGAAAATCGATACAAATGTCTGAAATTGATTTAACACGTATTCATTTAATAGCAGTTAATAGAGTTTTTCAAGAGCTATAGAATGTATATAGTCTCTTTTGATCACATAGCTCAATGAATGTAATTAGAAAAAACGCTTTTTCAATTTAGAAAATTGGCCCATTAATATATGCTAAGTATTCTTTGATTATTTTCTTCTCGTTAAGTAGCTATAGAAATAAGTGTGATCCATTTTTGTCTAAGAGTTGAAAAAAAAAGTCTAAGTCTAACTACTGATGGTATCATTCTTTATGACTCAATTATTATATTGTTATCATTAACAATTGATTTTTATTTGCTCGTTCATTCAGCTTGATATTTATTAGTATTAGTTAATACTTGTTAGATATTTAATAAGAAAAAAAGTTGAGATGATTTTGTTATTTTGAAAATAGAAATTTATATAATCTTTTGAATGTCAACAGAAGAAACTTTTTCTTTTTGCAACAAGAGATTCTACTTCCAATTAATCGAGTAAAATTTTTTCATGCAAATAAAAACTTATCGGACAAGAAATCGGTTAGATTTAATATAAAATGTATTATTATTATTATTATTATTTATTTCACGATAAAAATCCTCTTCCAATTTTTATTTTGCTAAATTTATTATGAATAATATTTTATTCATTTCTATAACTACAAACTGTTACAAGAAAAAATATTCATTGAATTATTAATTTTCAGTTTTTCTTAAATACTACTTTCTTTTTTCTATATAAAAATAATACCAGATACTTATAGAGATTCCATTGTTAAATAGAAGAAAAAAAAATACTAGACTACCACTCGAGCAGAATAAATAAACGGTGGCACAATCCCTGAATATATTGTTTTTTCTTTAATCCAAACAGATTCAAATATGAACGCCTATTTTCAAATTTGCTCTCGGCACGATATTCATGTTAAATATAAGAATAAAAAACTATTTGTCGTATTCTTTTCTTTTCGTCTGTATTGATTATTATCGTTTCTCTTATTTGACCGACAGAAGTTCATCAAACTTTTTTTCCTTAGATGTTTGAGACCTTGCCGTGAATAAAAAACTCCACTTGACGAAAATCGAAATCCGCCATGCCTTCTAAAGTTCATTAAGATATACAATGCATTAAAAAGTATATTATTCTGTAATTTTTAGTATGATGAGTTCGAGTTTTATTGTTTATGAAAAGTTGATATGACTTGCTGGTTTATGTATGAGAAGTACATGTATAATTTACGATTAGCATGGACAAAATTTTTCTTTTCGTAAATATTGTTTACATTAAGTACCGTGAGTAGATGCATCTTATATCGTTCTATAAAACGCATATAGTTACTTTATATGTTCTCTTTCTTTTCTAAGAAGTATAAGAGTCAAAATGAGGTAAAAGCAACATATCTACGCATAGTTTAAAAAAATCTGATCGATTTTTCTCGGCAATAAAAATGATCTCCGTCATTTTTTCTGAAACACTGCATCATTATTTCTCCGACAAAACACTCTTATGTGAAAAATTTTGCAATACTTCAAAACTATTCTATAAAACATCTTCTTTTGACTTAGCTTCAGACAGGAGTTCGATTATTTTCAGGAAAAGAATTGTTTGAAATAAACTTTCGGTATCAAAATCAAGATCAATATCCAAAAGTTAAATGACATATGTATGTCAACGAAAAATAAACTCAGGAAGTCGAAAGGTAAAAAGATCTGAAGAAAAAAGTACTGAGGGGGGGGGGGGCGTACAGTTAAATTTTCACCAGAAAACATTCTTTTACTGAAGTATTCAGTTTTCGATGTTGACCTCGATTTTAATGGCAAAAATTTATTTCGAATATTTCTTGCCATGCAATTCGTTGAAATCCTGTCTAAAACTAATTAAAAAAAGCGATTTTATCAGATAATTGTCAAAAAATTTTACGTTCATAAACTTTTCAAAAGCTTTCGATTAAGTACGGTTTGTAGAAGAAAAGATGATGCAATTTTTGAGAAAGTCTCACGAAAGGATTCTTTTCTCTTTTTGACAAAATTCGATGAGATTTTTTCGAGCTGTTTGCAAATATGAAGTTTTTATTTCATTCTGATCTGTATATTTTTGAGACAAGAAAGAGAAGCCCATTAAGCGTTTGTATGTGTTTTGTAAAAGTATATAAGCTGCATCTAATAACATTATTTAATATTGAAAACATTTATAGACACGAAAAAATCGTCCATGCTAATCTTAACTTATGCATTTACTTTTGATATAAAAAAACGAGTAAGTCGTATCGGTTTCTTATCAACAATAAAAATCAAATCCACCACACAAAATATGAGAAATAATAAGCTCTTTCGTGCAATGAATCTTATAATCCACATAACACGAAAAGTAAAGTACATATGCATATTACATATAACGATATTAATAATCGCTTGAAGATTGAATTATGTATCGCCATAGAAGGAAACTATCAGCTGTTAATTATTGTTTTTCGTATGTTTATATCTCCCGAATATCGTCGAAATTTTAGAATGTCCACTTGTCACATGTTGACGATCTCAGCAAGCTTTTTTCCAATGCGCACTGATGCTCAGATTCTGAGAATGAGTGGTTGACTTGAATCGTAACTAATGCATCTAGTGTAAGAAGAATTTGCAAAAGTAACTAAGCGGCTGAAATCCAGTAGATCAGTTGCCGCTTTTCATGCAATAAGTGAGCGTAAGTAAAAATGTTTGCTTTCCTTTCGTCTCCACAGATACATGTTATTAAAAAATGATGAAAAAAATTGTGCTGAGTAATTATTTGCTTTATTTAAAAAAGCTTTGTTACTGCTTCATTTAATATTTTTTCAAAGGATATTTAACTGATAATTTTTGTAATATAATCTTAAAATGCACGTTTCAATTCATTTTATGTCTACTCGAAAATAAACTGTAATAGTTTTTCAATGATAGAAAAGAAAAAAGATTAATTTTTTTTTCAAAACAAAATCCTCGTCCTTTTTGTATAATGATATAAAATAAATGTTATTTTTGATGTTTCTTTTAGATAAACGATTATTAATCGCTTCTTTTCATTATTTGTGATTTTGTATATTAAACGTATTCACATATATTGAACTAAACAAAAATAATAATTTATGGATATTGGAAAGGTAAAATAAATTAAATCATATTTCTGTAGAAAAAAACTTTTTTTTTTTTCAAATATTAGAATCATTATAATCAGAAAATCGATTTAATATTTCTTCGAAATTTCTGTATAGTTACATTATTTCATCTATTTGTCAGTGTTATTTTATTTGTACATGTTTTAACAACTCTTTGGTATTTACAAATGATGTGGTCAACAAATGATGACAGTTCTTATCAAATGAGTTTAGTAACAAAAAAATTTAGTTATTCAATACGATCATTGCTTTTATTATGTCATCTACAATAATGTGAAATATTTTTCTTTTTATTGTTGTATCTAAAGAATTTCTTTTTTTTTTTTTTTAAACATGTTTTTGTTAGTAAAATTAGAATTTTTAGATTTCGACTTGTGTTTTTTTGTTCTATCTTAAAATGACGACGAATAAACGAACAGCTTCTTCGTTAATGAATGATGATATTGAAGCAAAAAAACTTAAAACAGAGATTGATTCAACATCTTCAATATCGACTACAAGCAAAGAATCAATACCATCATTTGTTGATGACAATGTTACAGCCAAAAAAATATGCGAATATGGCGAGGCATGTTATCGACAAAAAAATCCAAAACATACAGCTGAATATGATCATCCGTGTAAATTTTTTTCTTTTTCAAAACAAATTTATGAATTAAAATATAAACATAAGTATTGTTTTAACGAGAAAGAATTCGACTTGTTAAATTACTTTTTTTTCCTGTGACGTTGTTATCATTTATTGCGCCAGAATGGCTGAGTGACCACGTAGTTCGACACGTATCCATTAAATACTATGTTTAACCCTTGGTACAAGCAGTCACAAAATGATTCTGAACAAGTCACTGAAGGCTATTTGTCTCGAATCATATGTCCGATAGCATGTTGACTTCGTTATCATATACATTTGTTCTTGTGGCTAGTATGTGGTTAGTTAGTGTGCATGAACAGTTGAAGTAATTGAGTGCAAGAACACTATATCAGGCTGACCTACTGTTCAGAGTCGTAGGAAAGATATCAGGCTATGAAACTTGCTATTAGACAGAATTTGATACCGTAAGATAATCATTTAGGACTACAATATAGAATATACTTTGATATATATATATATGTTAGTATGTAAAAATAAAGATTGGAGTGTTTGCTAAAAATATATTTGTTTCACATAGCATTAGTGAAGTAATTAAATAAGCCTAAAGACTATTTAGACTCAAATATTCGAAGTCAAAAGAATCCATTGCACATATTCATATACAACTGAAAATGAAAATATATTTGAATCGTAAAAAAAATGTTTTCATTAGAAGAACATTTTAAAATTCAGATCTTTGAAGATAGATTTTAAAAAAATGTAATTATATTTTAGCTACCGGTGCATCAGCATCGACAAAGGACGTGAGCAAACGTTTAACATCAATTGAAAAAATTGAACAAAGTGAACCTTATCGATTTTTTCTTTCGACTGTCTATGGAATACAAGATAATGATAATCGAATAAATGCAATTAGTCTAAAAGGTATCTTTAAACTATTTAATGATTTTTCTTGATAGAATTGTTGTTTTTTTTGTAATTAGAAATTCTTTCCGCTGAACATGGACAACTTATTCGTTCAGCTCAATTTAATTATATGTTTGATATTGAATTTTTACTTGAACAATATCCATCTGAATTTCGGTAAGATTTATTATTTTTTTAAACGAAAAAAAAAAAAGAAGACATAATAATAAAACATGATTTTAGATTGAAACCATTATTAATTGTTCATGGTGATTCACGAGATGATAATCATTCAATAAAAACTCAATGTTCACCATATCCACAAATTGAATTATGTCCAGCTCGTCTTGATATACCGTTTGGTACACATCATACAAAAATGATGTTTTTACTTTATGAAACTGGTTTACGTATTGTTATTCATACAGCAAATCTTATTCCACAAGATTGGAAACAGAAAACACAAGGGTAATTTTTTTTATTATTTTAAATTGAAAGAAAAAGAAAATATTCTTTTTTTATTCTTAATGTTTAGTATTTGGATTAGTCCTATTTGTTCAAAAACTAGTGACAATAGAGAATCGAAAACAAATTTTAAAAAAGATTTACTTGATTATATTGAACGATATCGTGCTAGACAATTGCAATTTTGGCAGAAAACTATTAATGAACATGATTTTAGTAGTATCAAGTAAGTGGAAAAAAAGAAAGCAATTCGATAATAATAAAAACAATAAAATTTCTATTAGTGAATACTTCTCTACTCTGAACTTGAACATTGTTTTTACAGTTCTGATTGCTATTTTAATCTCTTTTATATTAGCATAAGTGCACTTTTTTCTCCCTCTCGTCGTCATGATTTCCGGCGAAACTGTTGTTCACAATTTGTTACAATTAGACATGTCAGGGAACGAAATGATATTCCAGCACCATCTTATATAAACCAGAAAAATTGAATTAATAAACGATAATAACGATGGTGATCATAAATCACAATATAAATTAGCTGAAAAATCGAATATTTTACTTGATTTTTCATTAAATATGTAAACGGTAACCGAACAACCCAAAATCAAAGTATTAAACAAAAACTCACAAGTTTTGAGATAAGAAAATTTGGCGAACTGCACAGTAATGATCATCTAATTCACATAGATCAAGACTATAGGCAACCAAGTCACGAGGCCTAGATACGCTGGAGTCTATCATAAATTAGACAGATAAAGGCTTGCATAGGCTCGAGTCCACCTTATGTTGAATAGTAAGTACTTAGATAGGCGATGCATTCTTATAAGATTATAGTATACATCTTATCGACTACCTATTCATATCCAATAAACATTGGCAGCGGAGCCGCAAGACTTGAGTGGGCTAATACCTATCCTAGATTCATATTTTGTATATCAGGGTATGCTCAAAGACTTTTATCTGTCTAATAGATTGATAGAATTGAGCAGCGCATCACATTTTTTTGAATTAAACAGGCTTACATAAGAAACATTTTTTAAGGAAATATCAAGTGCTGTATAAGTAAATATTGAATCAACGATCAATAATCACTTGAAGTGGGAATCCTTCATGACTAATGAAGAAGGACTGTATGAATAATCTGAGTCAGATTAAATTAGAATCTGCTAAAGCTTCTCTTCGCTTTCGGTGACTAAGATTTCATACCAATTAAACATTTTCAATGATGAAGAAGTTTGCAATCTAACATAAGCATTTTTGTGAACTATTTATGCTTCCTCATTGAACTTTTTTTCTCGTCAACCAGATCAGAATTTCTTCTTTCGAAAGTCGTATTTCGATGAACAAAAGCGTTCGCATATTTCTTCAAATGCGCATTTTTTTCATTTATGCAGTGTTATTCTGATTTGCAATACTCTTACACGTTGCAAAATGCAAGTTCCATAAAAGATATACAAACTGTATTTCATCTAAGTGACATTCAAAAAGTTGTTTTCTATCATTTTTAACTTCCAGATGAGGATCTGATAGAAAAAAATGTTCAGTCTACTCTAGAAGCAAAATGTTCCACTGTCTATGATTGATACCAAAACAATAAAACAGGACTTTGTAAAATAAAGCAAAGTTTAATATTGATAAATATTCAAACGAAAGAAGATAATAATAACACAGAACATGATGTTTTGATTACTTTAAAACTAGTAAAGAAGTTTATATTCTAAATTTTTTTTTTCATTTCATATTAAAATATATACAACATCTGCCATAGATGAATATTTTTTCAAAGACTTAACGATATTTATTTGAGAGAGATTTTATTGTAATTTGTTTTTTAGTGTACATCTAATTAGTTCAACGCCTGGTCGTCATAGGGGACCTGATATAAATAAATTTGGTCATTTAAAACTTCGTCAAGTAAAGAATCGATTAAGAATTAACTTTAACATATGTATGTTTATAATTTATTTTAGACATTAAAAAATTATCTCAATCTTGAAAATGATGAACAATATTATTCTGCACCAATTATAGGACAAGTAATTTATTTTTATTATAACAATTTTTAGTTTTCTTTTACTTAAAAATTTAATTAAAATATTTTATTTAAGTTTTCAAGCATTGGATCTTTAGGTCCAAATGCAAATTCTTGGTTAACAAAAGAATTTCTTACATCACTCAAACAACTTAATACAACTTCATTAGATTCTCCAGAATTACAATTAATCTATCCAACTGTTGAAAATGTTCGTACATCATTCGAAGGTTATATGGCTGGTGGAAGTTTACCTTATGTAAATTCTTGTTTTTTTTTTCTTTAAATGAATATTTATTCTATTTGATAAGAACATGCAAACTGCAATGAAACAAGCATGGCTTGTTAATTATCTTCAGTATGTTTATTGAATTATCTTTCGTCGTTTTTTTTATCGTGATATATATATATATATATAAATGAAATTTAGTCGATGGAAAGCTGATCATCGTCAACGTAGTCGAGCTTCACCACATATTAAAACATATTTACGAGTAGCAAATGATCAATATAAAAATCTTCTATGGTTTTTAGTTACTAGTGCTAATTTATCAAAAGCTGGTTTGATTATTTAAATAATAAATGAATAGATTTATAATTTTTGTTTTATTATCTCCATAGCTTGGGGTGGCTTAGAAAAGAATAATACACAATTAATGATCCGATCGTAAGTATATATTGAAAAACATTATTTTTAAATAGATGAATATATTTTGAGATATGAAATTGGTGTTTTATTTATTCCAAAACAATTTTCTAAAACAATGTTTCCTCTTTTTGATGCATCATCATTTCCAATTCCATATGATTTACCACCAGTAAAATATCAATCAACAGGTTAATTTATTTTTTTATTTACTAGATTTTTCATGTTATTTTTATGCATTGAATTTTTTTCGTAGATAAACCATGGATAGTCGATATGGCATATAAAAATCGACCGGATTCACATGGAAATATGTGGGATCCGCATGACTGATTTTATTTATTTTGAATAAACTTATGAATGTTTTCTTTTTTTTTCTATTTGTATTAACTAAGCCAGACAAAGACATATATATATACATGAATAAATATTAAATCAAATATTCTTTTCTTTTCTCTTTATTATCATAGAGTGAAGAAAATAAAAAAAATAAACTTAAATGTCAAGTGTTACTGAAAAAATTTTTCTTAATGATGGACCACTTTTAATGTAAGAAATATATATATAAGTTAGTTGTTTTTCTATTTTTGTCTTATTTTATTATTATTAATATTATAGTAAAGTTACGGATAGTACTGTTGACGAACAATTAAGTGAAAACGCTTCTCTGCGTATGATATTACAATGGTATGAAAGACATATTTATAGACATTTATATTTACCACTTTTTCAAACAGAACTTAATACACCAATTAAATGTGTATGTATTTATTTGAATATAAACTTAATAGAACAAAAAAAAATTATGATTATTATTATTATTTAGTCTCATTCTGATGCTTTATTAGCGGCTATTGAACTTTTGTATAATTTGGATCCGACAAATACGAATGTACATCTATCATCGACAGCAAATTTATTCCCTTTAAGTAAGTGTTTATGAATCATATAACAAGGCTATTAGAGTCAATGATTTTTTTATAGAATAACATATTCTAGAAGATATAATTATATGCATTAGCATGTATGACGATTGAATCTTTGATTTGAATTCGATGAATTATATTTATTAAGGTTTGAGAATGAAGAAAATCGAGCATTCAAAAATTGAAAAAATATATTCGACTTTTTGAAATTATCTACATAATTTGATTCAAAACCTTATGAAATTAGAAAGAAAAACAACTCTAATCTCCAATACGATAAATGTGAAGATTTCGAATTCCATCATTGTTGTAGATTGATTCAATTAGTCTAGATTCCGTCTAGTAGGTTCCGGATCCAAAAAATGTTGACCTAATGGACTTTAGTCATCTAAGAAATGTGTCGAGTGAGTTGGCCATCGAATACAAAAAAGCCAGAAAAATTATCTCGTATCTTTTGGACGATTGTTCGATTCCAATTAGGATATTTCATTGAGAGTATCAAAGTACGATTCGACAAGCTACACATTTGAAAAATTTTCCACTTGACGGACTGTAAACTAGTTAATCGTCTTGATACATATGGATATTATAATTAAGAATATTGAGTAATTATATACAATAGAGACCATTGATAAAAACCACATGATTTTTGCAATAGCCCTTCGTGTTTTTTCTCATCGATGACAGAACATGACCCAAGGACGATCTATCTTCTATGTATCAAATTATTCAAAATTCATGCTCAGCTAGAATAGTCTACGAATATATCAAATGAACAATAGTGAAACTTATAGAGTATCAGGATTCGGCTCTTTCTTTCTTGAAATATATTCATATTACTTTTGACGAAAAGGTAACGTTCATATTTTTTTTTTTTTAATATTTTGATTAGAAAGTTATACTCTGACTCAGCAAACATTGTTACTTACTTACGAGTCATGGTTATATACACTTCGTGATCTTGCTACTTATTCGCCATATGCTATTGATGGTTATAATTTACGCCTTTTATTTATCATTTATCAACTTCTTAAAATAATATTATTCATTCATCAACGTGGTCTTAGTTGTGGTCGAATTCAATTAACAGATATTCATATAAATGAACGATATTGGATTCAATTAAAACCTCGTTTTCATTCTTGTTTAGCAACATTTGAATTGGCTTCTGATTGTGTTACAACCCATAACAATAGTAATAATAATATTGATGATGATTATCATAATAATTCATTATCGAAATCAAGATCACATACAAATAGTGTATCGTTTTCATCTACATCAAAACAAAAAACTCCTGCATCAAATCTTTATGATGAATCATTAGTTATAACAACAAAAACATCACCAAGAACGACAACAATATCACATTCATCTGTTTATCATGTTGAACATCGTTATGAAACATATTGTCGAACACATATTGATATTGTTGAATTAATAAAGCAATGGCAACTTGGACATATATCTAATTTTGATTATTTATTAATATTAAATGCTTTAGCTGGAAGAAAATTTCATGATCCAAATAATCATTTAATATTTCCATGGATAAATGATTTTACAAGTTCAACATCTAAACTTCGAAATTTATCACAATCAAAATATCGATTAAATAAAGGTTTTTTTTTTTTTTTTTGTTTCTTGAAATCATATCTGTTTATTTATTTTTTTCATATCAAGGAGATGCACAACTTGATTTAACTTATAATTATTATTCATCATCAATATCATCATCAGCAGCAAATATTGTACCACATCATTTAAGTGAACATCTTTCATCAATAACTTATTATGTTTATAAAGCACGTCGAACAGAAAAACGAATTTTATGTGATGTAAGATATTAGAAATAATTGTTTTTTTCTTTTAAATATGAATTATATTGTTTTTAAATAAAAGAATGTTCGTTCAATTTGGGTACCAAATGAATATCCATCATCAATAGGACGTTTATATTTTTGGACACCAGAAGAATGTATACCAGAATTTTTTTATGATCCATCTTTATTTCAATCAATTCATGAGGATTTACCCGATTTACTTGTACCAGATTGGTGTTCAAGTCCAGGTTAAATTTTTTTTCTTATTTAATTTTTCGAAATATCCTCGTCTTGTGTGAAACATGATCTAAAAGGGAAGTTGAAGTATAAAGAATAAAAATTTGGCGCTCAACAGACCATAACATACGCTAGTCACAGATCGTGACAGACTAGCCAGAGACTATCACGCGCCGTGACAGGAATTGTTGATATACGGTCTTTAATTGTATATCAATAATGTCTCGTAATAATATATGAACTATCTTTTTATTGAATTGCTGAAAGATTAAGTAAAAGGATGGGTGAAGAAATATATTCTCAAATCGGTAGGATAAAACAATATGCCTTTAATTAGTGACAGCAGCTACATCGTATTTCACATTTTGGTCCTGTATGGATTGCGATAACAGCTTTTGTTTTGCTTTTGGTTCTAGAGGAATTCGTTGAAAAACATCGACAATTATTAGAAAGTCGTGAAATATCAGAAAATCTTCATTTATGGATTGATTTAATATTTGGTCATAAAGTTTGTTTTTTCTTTCTGTTTTTTTTTCTTTCATAAAAATATTTTTCTTGTTTTTTTTTTTTTTTTTTGGTGATAGTTAGCTGGTGAAAGTGCAGTTGAAGCAAAAAATGTTTGCCTTCAATTAGTTGATCATCATGAAGACTTACGTAATGGAGGAATCGTACGATTATTTCTTAAACCTCGTATGAAAATAAAATTTCTGCTTTTCTTTTTTCCTTAAAAATTGTTTATTCAGATCCTCCACGTTTTCTTGCATCTACACGACAAATGATTGATAATTCAGCTTCGATATCAACCACACGTCATGCTACAATACTAGATGAAGAACCAACAAAAAGAATAAGGTTTATTATATTGAATGTCTTTTCCTTGAAATCTCTGTTTTCTTTTTGATTTAGAGCACTATCAAGTGTAGGCAATAGTCGATCGAATGATTCGACATTATTAGCTAATGAATTAAATGATACATTTTCTCATTTGGATGCTATTGAACAATTACTTTTATTAACTTCAATGTCATTTGGTAGACTTCCATTATCAAGTTTACACAATCAAGTATATTTTTAATAAATAAAATTCTATTCTGAAAAAATATTTTACTCTGAATATTTAGACATCAAAATTTACATCAACATTTCTTCTTGCATGTCAACGTGATTTACAATATTTTGGTGTATGTTTATTAGAATTAATTTTACTTAGTAAACAACATTATATATCAGCGAATTCGAATGGTTCACAACGTTTAGCAACAGCTAAACAAATATTAAATAATAATTGGCATCTTATTCCTATGTAAGAATAAAAAAGAAACGCAAAGAATTTGAATATATTTAATTAAAATTATTATTCTAGACCATTTCGTGCATGTCTTAGTTTGTTATTAATGGATTTACCAAATGAAAATGAAAGTAATATTCAACAACAAATTTCAAATCGGGCTATTAATGTTGCATTTTTTTTAAATCGATGGACAACGTAAGACAATCATTTTTAAAGTTTTTTTCGAGTGAAAGATGCATGTTTCTGATGTATATTAATTTGTTTCATTGGAACACAGTCAAAGTTTCCAGTGAACAACAATCTGAAATCTAACATAATGATAATGATTGGAAAAAAGAGATCAAAATTCGAGTAGGATCGGATGGTAAGAAGCTGATCGATGTCGAGTTTCACATAAGATAAAGAGCAACTCTACATGAGATAATGATTTCGTTTTTTTCAAGAGAACATAGCAAATATTGATGACGTATAGCTAAAATTAATTTTTACACATTCAATTGAAAGGAAACAACTACTAATGTCGGCGCCACAAGTAGATGGAGAAAACTCAAGGAGGAATATCTCCTGAACGGATGTAGCTAGCGACCTGCGGTTTTCACCATTAGAAAGAAAACGCCCAGGGG